CACCAGAATTGAATATACAAACTTAATGAGTGGTGGTTCCATCTTATTTTCTTTATTATTTGAAGTAATAATTTATTTACATTGTTTTATTTTCCTATTCTTGTTTTTTAGTTGGTTTTTTTTTTTAACTTATAGGCATGGGTTTGTACACAGAAAAGTTTATTACACCGTTCATTTCAAGAATATAAAATTTTGAAAGAAAAAATTATGATCTTATAAAAGATCACAAGCATAAGTATTATAAATAATCAGTGTTAATTTACATTAGAAAAATAAAATATCAAATGCAAATGAATTTTAAAATAAAAAAAAGTGAAATTTACGTCAAATATGTTAATATAGACATAAATTTACATGAGACCCATATTAATTGATGTAATATGATGTCATAACTATATTTATAGGAGTTTTTTTTTCATTATACTAAAATAAAATAAAAAACATGTTATTTTCAAAATTTATATACAAACAATAATTATGATATATTTAAATAAGTAAGTTTGTTTTGTAATGAGAAATTTACTTTGACCATATATGTCATAATAAATACTTGTTCCTATTGTAAGTTGATGAATATGAGATAGAAAAACTTAAAACCCAACACTCCTCTTATTATTAAACTTGTGCTAGAAATAGCTCATTTCTTAAAATTACCAATAAAACCTACCCCACAATGCAAGGTCCTAGTGGAAAATGGTTGTACATTGACTTTTGAGGGTTGTTTAAGGAATTTGCAAGTGGAAGTACAAAATCATGTATTACAACTTTCTACTTTTCTCTTCCCTCTATTACTAGAGTACATGAAGCAAATTACAATCCTTTAACCTTGAAGTTTTATATGGATGAACACTTATCACATTACAAGACCACAAATATGATATTCCTATACAAGTTAAATATTATTAATTGAATAGGTTACAATATACTCATGCAATATAACAGTAATTTATGTTGACATTTAAACTTCTAGATTTTGTCAACCATTAGTACAAGACATTATTGCTTATATAGAAACCAAGTTAGCTTTATTTCTATATACTCATTGAATGTTTTTTATACTCCCTTTATGCCATTAGATAGAGACCATAATCATGCTATAAATTTTATACATGGTTTTAATCCTCTAAAAGTAAGGTCATATAGTACCAAAAAAGATAGCTTCATATTGAAAATATAATTCAAGATATGTTGGATGAGGGTATAATATATCCTAACAATATTCCTTTTTCCTCTCTAATTATATTGGTAAAGAAGAAAGATAAAAATTAGAGATTATACTTGTGTTATAGAACTTTAAATGCTATGATTTTGAAAGGTGCATTCCATATGTCAATTGTAGATGAATTGCTAGATAAGTTATTTGGTGATAAGTACTTCTCCAAGTTGGATCTAAGGTTTGACTATCACCAAATCCTAATGAAGCTTGATGATATGATGAAAAAATTTCATTATAAATGGTTTGTCATATCATTTGGTTGACCAATACTTCTATAATATTTTAGAGTCTTATGAATCATATTTTTCAACAACAATTAAGGAAATCAGTTTTGATTTTCTTTGATGACATTTTGATCTATAATCCATCTTAGTCATCTCATTTATAATATTTATAGATAGTCTTACAAATTTTGCACTAGCATCACCTTTTGCTAGAGTATTTAAATGTTCATTTAGGAATAAGGAGATTGATAATTTAAGGCATATAGTTTTTTAATCTAGAGTTGTTATGGATTAAAATAAGGTGGAACCTATCATGTCTTGACCCGAACCTTCAAACCTAAAACAACTAAGAGGATTTTTAGGTTTGACAAGTTATTATGAAAAAATCATTAAAGGGTATTTTATCTACCCCATCATCTCATTTGTAAAAGAATGGTAACTTTTTGTGGAATGACAAGGTTAAGAAAGTTTATAAGGATACAAAATAGTAGTAACACATGCTTTTATTTTGACTTTACCATATTTTTCAATAGCATTTGTCCTAAAGACTAGTGTTTGGTATTTGAACAATTTTAAGCCAAAGACAACAACAACTCATGGTATACTTCTCCAATAAGTTATCTCCAAGAATCCAAAATAAATCTACTTATGCAATGAAAATGTATAATATAATAGAAGCATTGACAAAATTTAGGAATTATTTGTTAGGTCATCACTTTGCAACTAGAACATATCAGAGGAGCTTACAACATCTTGCAAATCAATTTATACGAACTCTTGAGCAAAAAAAAAAACAATAAATGGTTATCAAGTTCTTGGGGTTTGACTTTCACATTGAGTATAATCCAAGGAAGAAAAACTTAACAGGATGTGCTTTCAAGATCTTTCATGATGTCATGGTTTAAATCTAAGTTAATATTCTTGCAAAGAATAAGAGAAACTATCAAGAAGGATAAGAACTACAATAACAATTGGAACTTTACTTATTAAACACTAATACAAATATAATTTTTCTGTCAAGGAAGGATTATTTCGTTGATAAAAGAGAGTAGTAGTGTTTGTTATCCAACCTTTTTTAAAGAAATTATGGTGGAATATCATGAATCTCCAGTTGGTGGTCATGCTGGTTTTATAATAACTTTGGCAAGTGTTCAAAAGGAATTTCATTGGACTAGAATGAAAAATGATATCACTAAGTAAGTACAACAGTGTTTGGTACGTCAACAAGCAAAGTCCCAAAATGTACTCATGTTGGTTCCTACAAACACTACATATACCAATACAAATTGGAAAATGTAGTAATGAATTTTATCACTAGTTTACTTAATTCATTTGGTTTCATAGTAATTATGGTTGGGAGGGGATAGACTTTTCAAATGAGTGGTGATATTTTGACAACCAGAAACCATACAACCTTTCAAACAACTCACTTTTATTAATATAATAATCTATATAATGATTTAATAAAAATAAAAATAAAGTAAAATTATTATTATAATATTAAAAGAGAGTTGTTTATAATAGTTGTATAGATTTGGGTTGTCAAAGTATCATTTTCCTTTTCAAATATGGTCATTTTGTGGCCCTTCAAATAGATTACAACAAAAAAAGTGTAGATGAGGTGTTTATGTATAATATTTTGAAATTACATGGTCTACCTAAATCTATTGTTTCATATAGCGATAAGGTATTTACTAGTCAATTTGGGCAACAATTATTCAAGCTTCAAGGGACTTCTTTGACAATGTCTTCAGCTTAACATCTTCAACCTAATGGTCTATCTAAGGTATTGAATAAATGCCTTGAGATGTACCTTAGATGCTTCACATTTCAAAATCTAAAGAATTGGTTTACAATGTTGGCTTGTGCATAACAGTCTAGGGATGACACCCTTCAAAGTTGTATATGGTAAAGGCCTTCCTACCTTGACTAGGTAAAATTTAGAAGCCAATGATCCTCCTTCACTTAAGGATTTGTTTATAACAACGGGGTATATTGTTGGATTAGTTGAAACAAAACTTGGAAAGAGCTCAAAAACAACAAAAATACAAATTGACTAAAAGAGAAGGCACTTAGAGTTTGATGTGGGAAATTTATTGTTGGTCAAATTATAACCCTATACACAATATATCTTTGACTTTAAGGAAGACTCGAAAGTTTGGGAATGAGATATTTTAGGCCCTTTAAGATGATTCAAAGAATTGATTATGTTGCTTATAAACTCAAGTTGCTCTCATCTTTAATGAGTCATCCTGTGTTCATATTTCATTGATCTAACCATTTAAAGGAAATGTTTTTGAATCATATACACCATTGTCATTGCTTACGAATGAAAGAGGTTCATTGTTGCAACCAACAAAAGTAGTTAAAATTCATGTGATCATCAATATTAACAAACACATTCCTCAAGTGTTGGTACATTAGGAAGATTTACCTGAAGTAAAAGCAATATAGGAGGATACACACTTATTCAAGAACATTATTGTAACTTCAACCTTAATTGAGTTAGAGGTAGGGGACTTCTAGGGGTAATGTCCCTACCACCCTAAATTTTCAATTTTTTTTTAAAATTGAATAATAAATTATAATTTTTTAAAATACATAATATTTTAATATTGATCCTCCTTCACTTTGGGGGTCGATTCTATTTCTGAGGTTGTTTTTAGTGGAGGAGGAGTTATAAGTGGTCCAATTGAGAATGAGTGAATTAGGAGTAAGAGATTGGTTAATAAAAGTAAAATTTGTAGATAGTTAGAGAAAGGACACATATAATTTGATAGAGGTGGGAGTGCATAAAGGTGAGAAAAAGAGAATCCCCGATAAAAAAAATTTGGTTATTATGTGCTCAAGATATGATATAGATATGACACAAGAAACAAAAGAGATGATATTATAATGATTAGTTTTCTCTTTAAACATTATAATTATTATAATAATGAGGTCATGACCATCCTTCTTTGTAATCAAATTCAACCATAAAATAATATCATTACAAAGATTTCTCTTCATTTAGTTATTACTAATATTTCATTTCTCCTTACATCCCACTTGACAAATCCCTATCAATCTTGATTGTAGCATCTTGGACCTATTAATTTTGATTGTAACAGTTTCTTTCTAATCGCATTTTCTATATTTTTTAATTGTTCTTTGAAAAATGTCAAAAATGATCTATAAACATGATTCAAGATAAGATCCTTATCAAGATCAAACCCACTTTGACTTTGACCCTAATCCACTTTATGTGAGAACTGTGAGGACTAAGGTTTTTTCAACCCACTCATAATGTGAGGGGGTTAGGGTCTATATGGGGAATCATAGGTGAAATTGACAAATCTAGATAAGGATGAATAATTGGTAGAAAAATAAAGAAAATGATAAAAATACTTATAATTCTTTTTTAATTTGATGTTTCTATGTTTATACACTAATAGCATTAAGGTAATGGAATTTTCCTACAAAGCATTTATGATTATGGAATTTACCAGAAGGTTACAGAGAAACAAAGGATCAATTAGGATTGTGTTCATTATAAGAGAGATCATGAAACAAGCTACATCTTAGACACTTTCAAACAATGTATCCGAGGACTTGGCATTATCATGTGCAGGGGATGCCTCTAATTTGCGTTTCTTTACTGGATATAGCAGATAATGTTGGCACATGAAGATGATGTCAAAGAATACAGACACCTGAAATGGTTCATTTTATCAATAGCAAAGTTAGTAGAGATTCTATTGAATCAGAACAACAAATAACATGTAAAATTTCTTGCAGAAGGAAACCAATACCAAGGATAGCAGTAGTTTCCCTATATTTCCATAGAAGTTCACCCAAGAATCTGCAAATCAAAGTTGGAATTTGAAGCTATATAAATTTAAACTATAAATACAAGTATTAGTTACACACTCTTTGGTACTTGTTAATAAAAAAGTTCAATAACCAATGTTTTATGATTTTCAGTCAATAGTAGAGAGTGTTTAAAAGACTGTTGTAGAGTATGTTATTAGCATTTTTCTAACTATAAATAGAACAAGACACTTTGGTAAAGAAGATGACTTACGTTGATCTATTGATTGCATAGACATTTGTGCATAGTTAGCTATGGAGCCAGAAAAGTCCAGTAGAATGTTAACAATGCTCCAGCCTTCTGTACTTTTTCTCATGAAGTTCATCACTGCCTATATTCATAACACAATTGACTACTTAAGATAACCAAAAATTATTTCACTTTATAAACCACAGAACTATGAAACAGTCCTCAAATGCATGAAAGCCAATTTAGTAAAAAGCCCTTCTTTAGATTGTGCATGTTTGCATTCCAAAATTTGCTTCATTAAAGACAAGACTGGCATAATCTTACTAGCTCCTAGTTCAAAGAGCTAAATTGTATATCAGCAATCAAATTGAATTTCCCAGGCAATGATATAAACAGGAAGAAATAGAATTAAAAGGAAATGAGACAAATTTGAAGAGATCCTAACCTGGGGAATATATTTTATAATCGTCATACAAACTTGAATGCCACTGTAAATTGATCAGTTTCAACAAAAAGTCAGAAAGAAATTTGTTGACACATTCATCATTAATGGCACGGGGAAAAACTTGGTCTTATGGTTGCAAATTTGTTAATTATCCATGATAGGAAGTCAAATTAATGCAATTGTCCATGCAACAACTGGTAACAGGAAACATACGAGAAGATTGAGATTAGCCAGAGCCAGTGATGATTGTGCAATGCTACAAAGAAACACACTGCAGCAGTGGTCCATGTAACAAGGAGAATTCCATATGCGATTTTAGAGATTTTCTGACTTCCCCGCTACACGAAAACATAACATCTTTCAGGATAATCATAAATTCATCACAAGAATAATTAGCTGAATAAAAGAGAGTGTAGCACTAACATCATAGATTGCAATCTGGAACAAGGAAATTGCTGTCAACAGAACAGCATGGATTGAGAAAGCAACATCATTTGCTGCCACTGGTATCATCTGAAATATATAAAAAAATGCTGACTTTAGCTAAGGAATTTATGCAGATATATAACATAGTTATTAAACAATAAAATGAAAAAAAAAAAAGAAAAAAGGTGATCCTTTCTAAATCAATGAATATTATTCATATTATCTAGTGACTTGTTCAACATTCTAACCATTAACATTTTGAATATTTTTAAATCTAAATCTGAGAGACACAACTTCTAATACCAAAGGAATAAGCTATTCTTTTTTTCAGATTGAATATGAAGTTTACATTAAAATAACTTTTTAAGTAATTTCCTTCTGGAAATTTCTAACAAACATTTTCATACGTTAGTAGGCATATGGCTCATGTGTGGCTTGGGCTTGGCCCTCCTAACACCAAAGGACAAGACCCAAATACTTATGTAAGGACAAAAATGTGGTAACGCACAAGAGCCGAAGTGTGCAATCCAAGTCTCCATAACCAAACAATTCAGTGCAACGAATTTGAAGTTGGAACGCAAGCATAACAGATGATCACAATATCATGATAACGAACTGAGTAAGGTGACAAACATGGCTTCCCTTTCACTATAGCACAAACTGAAATTAATCAATTTAACTTCAATAAAGAAAGGGGATATATTCAAACCTCTTTCTGACCATATTTGTCTCTGTACTGCTTGTGAACAGTAGAGCTGAAGTACAGAGATGCATTGTATATGAGATAGGAGGAGTGTTTCGTCAAATTCAGCAACACGAAATCAAAGTTGAGTCCCACCACACTGCACCACGATGGAAAACCAAACACAAAATAAAATAAAAGGTATAAGAGTAGAAGCTGATAAAAAAGAATTACACAGAAAGTAATAGCAATGAACCGAAAAATGATTGGTTTTGGGCTAGTGGTACCTTTTTCTGCGGAAATTCAAGATGACTTGAGGGTAGAAACTGATGGACCAAGAAGCAAAAGCAAACCAACCAAAAACTTCATAGGAGACATGGAGTGGAACTGAATTCCAAGCAGCCATGATTATTTCCTCAACTTGGTCAAAGAAGAGACCAGAAATTGGAGTTTAGATAGATATTTTACATATGCTTCTACTGTGTGAGTGAGTGTGGACTCATGTGGCCGCCAGGGATCTCAAATTAGAGTTTCAGAAATTGTGACGAAATTTAATTATGTTTCTGAGTGGTGCCTCTATTAAATGGAAAACACATGAAATTTGGTGAAGTTGTAATTGATGAGAATTGGTTCTTTTAGAAAATTGAGTCATAAATGCGTTCAGGGTTGTGAATTTAGCCGCTACCCTGTCTGTATACATACACTATTTAGCTTGCTACTTACAGCTGGAAATATACTGATGGGGGAAACTGTTGAGTCAAATTTACGTTATTTTAAGTTTTTATATATAAAAAATGATAATAACATTATATGCTTCATTTATTTTTCTATACGTTAAAAGAAAAAGAGAGATAAGTGTCATTAAAAAATAGTAAAATATGCAGTGCAAGGAAGTGTTTATAAAAATGTGTTATTGAGTATATATAGTTAAAAAGAGTATGATTGATTTGCGTTGCTTTTTTTCATTGCCTAAATTTTCAGCAGGGAATTTTGGATGATGCGTGCAATTAAAAATAGGTATCTTCGACCTTGACAACGGTTAAATAATATATTATTAATAAATAATAAATAAATATAAAAAAAAAGAAAAAATAAAATTATAAATATATATTTAAATATATTAAATAATTATTAAGTTTGAGGGAATCAAATAATAAATTATATAAAAAGATAAAATTATAAATATATAAATAAATATATTAAATATTCATTATTTAGGATCAAATCATAAATTATATCGAAGTTACAAAATTTTAGGAGGGACACAACTCCGAATAGATCCGTCACTCTTTTATTTTTAATTTATTTATTTATTTATAATTTTTATCCTTATTTTTAAATATACTTTTTATTTATTTCAAATTATATTTGGGTAGAAAATTAAATTTTAAATATATGTTATTTATAAATTTTAAGATTATATTAATTATTATTACTAATTAGTTTTTTTTAATTATATTTATTATAAAGAGAAGAGATAATAAATTATTTAAAAATATTTAAATTTTAGAAAATATTAAAATTGTAAAAATATTAATGAAAAATTAATAAAAATAATAAAAATTAATGTTTATTAATTTGTCTAACCTAATCTTAAATATCATATATTTTAAAATGGATAAAATATTCACGGCTATATTTACAATTTTAATTTTACTTATGAAATATATTTATCTTTATAATTTTAATATTTTATTTAAATCATTAATATATATTACATAAAAATATTTTATATTCTTAGTTTTAAAATTTTCATTTTCTTTTATTAATAATATTATTTAATCAAAAATCAATGTTCAATATTCACTAAAAGAATTAAGAATTTAGAGCTTCCTAAGTATATTCTTCGTGTGGATAATATTTCTTTTATTCAACTGTCATATCTAATTATATTTTTTCGAATATGTCCCTGCTCATATATCTAAGTATTTTTTTTAAAAGGTAAAATAATAATAATAATAATAATAAAGTATTTATATGTTTTGTTATAATTACTTTTTTTTAAATATTTTTTTTCATTTTTTTATTTTTTTGAATATATAAATTATAATAATTATTTTTTTATATAACATTTTTAGATAATGACGATGCCAAAAGAACCATTATAAAAAAATTGTTTTTATTTATAATTAAAATTCAACAATAAAAATAAAACATTTTTTTAATATTATTTGATTTTTAAAATGCATTATTGTTTTAAATTTTCTAAAAAAATAAATTATCTTTTAAAATTTAGTCATCCAAACGCCTAAATCTATTCAGTGGAGTATCCGTGAATAAGCAATTTGAAAAAGAAAATAAAAATGAAAGTTAGTTTCCATTTTTGTATTCTGATGTACGATTAAAAAAATCATATAATATTACATCACAATTCTTAAGTAAAACCATCTTTGTTAAAAAAAAAATATTACAAAATATTTGGAGCAGTACGTTATGAATCAGGCTGACAAGCATATAAACCAAAGCCCAAGAATCTCATTCCATGGGCCATAAGGCCCACCATCCCTGTTTGTCTTCTTTCTCTCTTCTCCCTTCTTCTATTCCGGCTGAAATCTCACGTAACCCTTTCGAACTCCAACAAGTTAAGCTCGAAGTACATAGATTCGATTAATTTACTTATTATTGTTTTTTAAATGGCTCACTCGTTAATAAGAAAATGCATAAAACCAGCGAGCCCCAATGTTCTGCCGGCACTCTCGGTCTCCCTGATCCGGCGCCGGCTGGCGACGGTGGCGGCAGCGGACGATGAGCCAGCGCAGTCTTCGTTCACGTTCTCTTCGGAGGGGGATAAGGTGTACATGAAGGGGCCGTCGGGGAAGTGGAAGTCATCGTCTTCGGTGACGATGCCTATGTCGTTCATGACGGGGTCGATCGTGGGGAAGCGGTTTTACAACGAGGTGAAGACTCGTGAAGCGGATGACGGGAACGGGTGGACGGTGATGCTCGATTACAGAACCCTAAAGACACCTTCCAAGAGACCCCTCAAGCTTCCCACACTTCCTCTTGCAAAAGCCATTGCCGCTGAATGGGAATATCAGGTATGTTCTTCTATGTGTTTGACCTTTTTTAGCTATTTTTTGTCCCTTTTTTTTATATGAAAATTTGGGTGAAACATTGTTTGAATTCCTTAAGGTGTGCAGCGATGTCCCATTAGTCCTCCTGACTGTGTTCTTGAACGTAAAAAAATTCAGAAAATAAAATAAAATTGAAAGTAAAATTTGTCAATTCCTCCATTTCAATATTTGAAGCTCCTGTGTATAAATGATAATATTAACTTGTGTTTAATGATTAAAGTTACAGTGAGTATTTAAAGTTAGGAGCTTATTTTGAATTTATCTAGTTCCAAGGACTTAGGTAACAATATTTTTCAACGCACGAAAAAAGTTGGTTTAGGATAATCGGATTGGATAAACATAAACTTTTTGATAAACACTTATAAGAGACAAAATTATAAAATAAGAAAGTAAAATTTATCTATGATTCTCCCATAAATTAAAAGTAACATATTGTTTAATTTTTTATAGAAATTCTGTTGTCTAATATCTCTTACTCTAATCTAGGATACATAAGTTGGCTTTAAGTTATACAAGAAATTTAATTCATTTTAGAGAATAGGAATGTATGTATTAGACATGATTTATGAATGAACATTATGAGGTTGTTTGATTTAGTAGACAGTCACCTAGTAGGGAAAGAGGCTTGTTTCTTGTTGTTGGTGGTGTTGGATGAATTTTTATGTTTGTGCTCCTTTTTTAGTGTTGTGTTGAGTTTTAGTGAACCAAGGTACGATGCAAGTGTTTATGGCAGTTCCTCCGGGCGATACAGTTACGTGAGGAATGAATTCTACTGCCTAACATGACACTTGTTTTTTCAAAATTTTAATCTGATTCTCTTTTCTGTGTCAAGAGAGGTAGGTAAGACCTATTTAGTGTCTAATTAAATAGGACCTTGTTGTGAAGATTTTAACATGAAGTGATTCATTTTCATAATTTGACTTTATTTTACGCCATGCATTGCATTTTGCAATACTGGGAAAGAATTGGTCAAGAGGTTGTCCTGTTAATTGATCATGACTATGTGTATTTTCTCGTGCAAAGTAGAGGATATTGTTATTTGAACAGTGGATTATTATTAGGCCTAGCTGGTGGGTAAACAATGACTATTTTTTTGAGTTCAGTGTTGGGTTATGACTACATTTGTCATAATTTTGCATAACCCTGAATCTGAGGGCGGCCTTTAGCCTCATCAAACTGAAGAACTATGCTTATTTCCCTCAAGCTTCCATGAAAGCTGTGAAATTGTATCATAACTTTAAATTTTCCTCCAAAAAGGTTTGTCATAGTTTAGAGTCAGTTGGTGGGGTGATGTAGCTAATGTCAGCCTCCCTATACGATACTTAGATGATGTTCATTTGAAGCTGCATATTCTGTTTAAGTTGTTGATGCTGAGGAGTCACTTAAAGTGGATTGCTAACGAAGTGATTTATTGTAGCTAACGGATGGCATAAGACCCTTCACAATGCCTCTTATGAGACTTGCTTGCACTGCCCTGGAAAGAGTTCCCCTCACAAGGAGCAAAATTATTGAGAATTTGATGATGAAATTTAATCAAGATTTAGTATTTTGTCGTGCACCTGATGACAATGAGCTGACAAGCTATGTGCATGGTATGGTATTAGTTTATAACTTCATATGTCTTAACATGGATGATCCTAGTTAATAAAGTTTTGACTGCTTGATGAAAATACATGCTTAGATACATTAGAATTTGGTGAGTTGAAGTTGTTATCTTAAAAATGATGTTGTAAAAAGCATTTTTGACGTGCTCTTTAGTATGGTTTTTGGGTGGGGATTTGTCTGTTGCAACTATTTCGATTTTATAGCTTAGCTGATGCTGTTATTACAACGAAAATAAATAACATTTATATTTTTACACCTAATGTGAACATGAAATTCAAATCCAATGAAGATTTCTTTTTCATTTTCTCGTTGTGTTGGTATTGTTATGATTTACTTATTGCAAGTTGAATTCACGTATCCTTTACCTGTGGAACCTGTTCAGTGACATTAAGATTATATTTTAGCCTTACCTTCCTAGAATGATTTTTTCTTACATGCAACATTCTCTTCAATCAAAGTTATCTAGATGAAGAAGTGTCTCATGTTTTTCTGCGTTAGATGTATAGATTTGAATTTGAACTCGAACCTTTGCAGATCTTCAGGTGGAGAAAATTGATCCATTGCTTCACTGGGTGGAGTCAGAATTTGGCTATAAGCCTGTTGTTTACTCCAGCCTTTTTGGTGGTAAGCAGGAAGATGGTCTTGTAACGGCTATTGAGAACCTTCTAAAGAAAGCAGATGATTGCGAGTTGGCAACAATTGATGCTATTGCAGCATCAGCACATTCATTAATTATTGCTATTGGAATGGTGCGCGGGAAATTGCAAATTGAGGAAGCAATTCAACTTATTAGACTTGAAGAAGATTATCAGGTACGTACGTATATGACTATCACTGTAATCTATAACCTGATACAAAAACTTCTCGCTCATTATAATGTGCTTAAATACTGAAGTACATTACATAATCTTTACATGATCTGTGAAATAGAATTGTCTCGATTCTCTGCTTCAGGTGGACAGGTGGAGCCTCGTAGAAGGTGGCCATGATGTGGATATTGCTGATCTAAGAGTGCAGATTTCATCACCAATTGTATTTCTTGGTTTGTCGAGAAGCATGTAGGTTTTTAACATTCTTTTATGTTTACGTTACCATCCTAAGAACTAGCTATCAGGCTAGAATAGAATAGGAAAAAAGGGTTGTTGTAATTTCCAGATCTTTCCAGAGGCAATATTCTTAGGTTAGCATAAATTGTTTTTGTAGATGAGTTTTATTGTGGTTAGAGTTTTGTCATGACTTGGAACATTATAAACATGGCTTTACAAGGGCTTGATTTGTCCTGGAATAACAGGTAAAAGTATTTGTGTATTTCGCATAAGTTTGCAACTTTTTATGATTCTATGTTTGTATTGAATTTCATTATTCACTCAGCCTATTTCATTCTCCAGTGTTCTATTGATGACAACAATTGCGGTTGAATGAAAATAGAATATCTTACCACTTTCTTCGTATTAACTAAAGTGTCGGTATAAGAAAATCAAAGTCACTGGAAGTCTTCGGAATACTTTGGATGAGAATAAGTGGTGTGAGGGATGCAGTCTTTTTTTATTCTGTGAATAGATCCTGCCACTCAGATCTGAATATTTATTAAGACTGAAGCAATAACCTTCAAGTTATATTGAATACAATAGAGTTGATAGAGGGTATTTAGACAAATATTTTACAAATACTTGTAAGAGGAAAAAATAAATAAATGAAATGAGTTTTTCAGCCAAAGATATTCTGAGTACTATTAGTAACTTTGATTTTTTATATACAAATTAATTTGTAAAATTATTATATATAATTTTTAAAAATATTTAATTTTAACTTGTGCGATCTGAAAATTACTTTTATATTTTATTTTAAAAATATTTATGAAAATATTTATCTAAACATCTTGATTTTATCTCCTTCAGTTATAAATATATTTTTTTCAGTGACAGCAAATAGTTCTTTTCCATCAGGCATGGCTAGTAGATTTTTGGGTTTGTGGATGAAAATCTATTTGTCATCGAATTTAAACGCAGATAAGAGGGTTCGTATGGCTAACAAATGAAATGAATTTGGAAATTTGATCTGACTATAAAGTTGAAATGAATGCAATTTTTTAAACTAAATTTAGTCAACAACAGGGAGTCTCACTACTAATGTTAAGGATCTTCTTGACAGCATAGAACACAAAGTGGAGGTTGTTTGGTGATGTCACAGTTACAACAAGCTGTGTCGCAGTCATTGTTGCATCCTGTAGAATCATCAATTATCTATCTTGTCAAGATTTAGGAAATAAGCAAAGTCTGTAATTGTCTCCTTCAGAATTTGGGTCAAACTATTACTGTTACTGCGTACCTGTTATAGTCTCATATTGAGATGATTGGATACCTTGAGAAATCCTAAGCATCGACAGGCGAGTGCAACCTTTAACATTAATGCCGTGCACAAAAGAAACCATGAGAACCATCAACCAAGCTACTGCCAACGATTTCATTGCTGATGGTGATATCTTGGTAGGAGATTAGCTCAATGCTATCAGAAGTTTTTCTCAACATTCTATTGTATATATGGTTCTTAACTGAAACTCTGTTGAGTAACAAGAAAGCTAAACTTGTCTTGATGTTTACGTAAATCATTAAATCTCTTTCACATGTTCATACTTTTTTTATAAGCTGTGATTAGATGTAATGACCATTCGAAAGTTGTGTTAATTGTGAGTACAAATTTTCTTATTTTGATTGCATTTCTACCTTATATGGAAGATTCCTCATGCCAATTCAATGAATCGAGCGTTTCAAATTCAGTACATTTTTTAGTTTGCTAGACTCTCTTAAGTAACTTCGGTTTCAACAGGGCAGCTATGACCACCCAAATATGCACTCAACTACCATACTCCTAACATACAAGAATAAAAGCCATGATTTTTCGTTTTAATACATGGTTGTTTCAATCATGACTTGATACAAATAAAAATTGAAACAGGGATCAAATCAAACGCAATCCCCAAGGGATCCAACCCCAAGCGCCATATTGATCTTGACCTAGAATTTAAAACGATTGATGAGAAACAAATATTTCAAGTTCCCTATACATTTTACATGCTTATAGTCACCTACAGAGAGTCATCTCAAAGAAACCTTACGAATTTTTATTTGAGACCAGGTTCTGTTTGCTATTAACATTTATTTAAGAAACACGAGTCAACATAATTTAAAAACCCAAGTTTCACAAAAGGGGCTCAGGTTTTATTAAGAATGTAGCTAAAACATCCCCAACTTTAAAGAAAATACAAAATGCCAACATACGGGATCAAATGTAAACATCATCATGCTTTTAATAGAATTTTAAGCTTTAGGCTGAAGTGACTTGATATGTGAGATTTGCTTTCCTGGGTTCAACCCCTTTGGGCAGGCACGAGCACAGTTCAATATGGTGTGGCAACGATAGAGCTTGAATTCGTCATTAATGGCCTCCAATCTCTCTTTAGTGTACTCATCACGACTGTCGCTGATCCACCTGCAAAAATATCATCACAAACAATATCTCAGTTTTGAATAATCCAATTGCCAAGGTATCTATATATAACAGATATCCAGTGCAGTAGATGAAATGCAATGATTTTAATAAAAATAAAAAGAAGTTTCTAATGTGCAGACTTGAACTCATTCCTTCCTAATCCTGACCAAGTACGACCTAAAGATCAAGATATGCTCTTCTAATTCACGCACATTACTTACTACAACTGCACCACCTACAGGTATAACCATATAGACAAGAAAAGATGTTCAAAGTTAATAATGCCCTAATATGAAACATGTTAATAAGAGACAAGAAGAGCAGCAAGTGTACGCGTAATAGTCATACCAAAAGAGTAAGCCCATAAAAAGGTAGTATATATGGAGAAAAAGGTCTGAAGTAATTACAGACTTCCTTCCATAATTCAGTAAATAACATCTATATTGGTGAAAACCCTAAGAATGCCGAGTGTCTGAGTGTTGTAGTTTCAAAAACAATACAGGTATCATTCATTTGTCACGTGGTTACTTGAAACACCATGAATAAACCAAAATAAGTAACATACACAACAATGGACAGATTTTAATACTTCTGATAGATCCCCAAGCATTTAAAATAAACTTGAAAAGCACCAAACAAAAATTATTATAAACAAGAATAGCAGCATCTTACCCCAATATTAACATAAGAAAATCAATAAAACAGCATGCATATTTCATGCCAAGTGTATTATAATTCTTTCTCAATCCAAGCTTCAAATCAGTACAACAAAAACATAGAATGCACCAAGTAGTATACTTAGTTATTAGCATAAGCCAACTGACAAAAGCAACAAAACAAAACACACGCTCACATACTCCAAATCAATTCCCTCTCACAGCCCTGAATTCAACCAAGAAATCAATGTAACCGCATGTGTATTACTAGAATCTTGGTGGTGGGACTCAAATGTTCAAGAGAAGGTTAGAGTAAAATAGAAATTTCATAAAGTTTGCCACTTGTACAAAGAGAAGGAAAAAGAAAGACAAGAACAGGGAAAATACATGGTAGTTAAGAGCTAATTTGGATAGACTACACTTCCAGTACTTGTAAGAAGGAAAAAAATAAGAAGTATTTACGAGGTAAAAGAAAAACCAAACCTCTGGTACAACAAATGTTCCTCAAATTTTTCAGGGCCTAAGCAAAGTTCCAACATGACAATTGAAAAGCTCTAAAAGCTAAAAGGCAAACCAAACGGGGACACCGAGGCAAACAAAATGGCGGTATCACACAACAAAAAAGATCAACTCATGATTTCCAGATTTTCATAAGAACTCAACAAATGTCTTCCGTTTTCACGACATTCTCTATTTCTTGTAACTGACTTCACACTTGTAGGGACAATGAAAGCTTCAATGGTTGACACTGTATCACACAACAAACCCAAACCACAAAATCATCTCCAAAATATATCCCAAACTCCAATCCATTTAACAACAACAACGCACAGAACCCAACAGAACAGCATATCCCAATCACAACAATAATAAAAGCATATACATTTCCTTGCATGCTTTGACTTCTATCCTCTAATCAAATTAGAGTTTCACCTCAATAACCTAAATTGATCGATTGATTTTTATTTTTTAACGTAAGCCTATGAAACTCCAATTCCAAAAAGTACAAAACTTGCTATTATCTCTATATAATAGGTATTTTTGCTGTTGTTCCCCAATTATAATTGGAAACAATAATACCCAACGGAATCTGTTTAATTTCACTGCCTACTGAGGTGTACCTAAAATACCTGATTAAGAAAGTGCGTGGTTTGAGCGTTACCTATTAGCGTGGAGCAAGGCGGCGGGTCCAAGATAGGACTCGGGGTTCCACCAGTAGCTGGGGCAGGATGTGCTACAGCAGGCGCAGAGAATGCACTCGTACATCCCATCGAGCTTTTCACGGTCTTTCTTGCTCTGCAGGATCTCCTTCCCTTGCACTGGCGGTGGGTTCTTCCGCTTGAGCCAGGGCTCGATGCTCTTGTACTGGTTATAGAAGTTGGTCATGTCCACGACCAGGTCCTTGATCACGAACATGTGCGGCAACGGCGTTATGCTGGTGGCCGTCGCCTCGGACGGAATCTTGGTGAGGCAAGCAAGGCCGTTGCAGCCGTCGATGTTCATCGCGCAAGAGCCGCAGATCCCCTCGCGGCAGGAACGGCGGAAGGTGAGGGTGGGGTCGATCTCGTTCTTGATCTTGATGAGCGCGTCCAGAACCATGGGCCCGCACTCCTTCAGGTTGATCTGGTAGTCCTTAAGCACCGGCTTCTCCGGGTTCTCCGGGTTCCACCGGTAGATTTGGAACTTCTTCAGGGAGGCCGTGTCGCTGGCCTTCTGCTTCACCTGCTGAGCCTGGGCCTCCGACGCGTGGGCCCGGATGAGTGTTAGCTTGAAAGCTGGCGAGGACGGCACCCGCTGCGCCGCTCTTTTCAGCAACCCCGTGGCCGCCATCGAATCAAAGTGTGGGTACGATGTTATGACCAAAATGCAGTTTTGTTTTCCAGGTTTCGTTGGAAAGGTATAGGAAGGGTTTCTGGCACTAATATATCTATTGCTAATTTATGGTTTATATATATAAATTAGTCAGAACAATAATACATTTCAATAATATTTTAACAGAGACAAAAATTTATAATAACTACAATATAATAAAAAGAAAAGAAAAGGTTAAAAGTTAATAAAATATTTAAAGCATAAAAATTATTATTCAATTAATTAATACCAGATCTTACACATCTTTGATTTAACAAAATGTAATCAGAGAAAATACTCTTTCTCTTAGTTCTCTTTTCTAACATTTTCATTCAAACATTCTTTTTATTATTAAATTTAATCTATTAAAAATAATATGTTATTAAATAAACAATGACGTGACAGAAAAGGTTTGGTGGTATGATACTACGCGGGGAGTTTGGAACTGCATTCAATCGGATACTTGATGTAAATTAAGGCTGTGCTTAAAGCAACGTTTGTTCATGTTACACCACGGGGATGCCAAGTTCTTTTTAGGATATTCTTTTTATTTAAATCTAATTATATATATATATATATATATATATATATATATAAATTTAATAATAGTATATAAAATAATTTATTTAATTACTTAATTATAAAAGATAAATTTATATTATTAAAATATAATTTTTATCCAAAATAATATAGTAATATTATTAAAAATCAGATTATTATATTTTTATAATCTCATTCATACGTAATTTTTTCAGTATTCATTTATTTATTTATGTTATTTTTCTATTAGTTTTAATTAATAATTTTTATTTTCCTATCTTATATATATTAGTTTCTAATGATATTTTTATTAATAATTCTTTTACTTTTATTATATAAGTTAATATTATAATTTGTCATTGTATATATTTTAAAGTTGGATGGATAGTTGAATTAGTCAACTAAAGTTAATTTTGATTGAATAAGTAATAATAAATTTCCATTGATAACTATATATATATATATATATATATATATATATATATATATATATTATTTTAATATAAAATGTTCACGTTGCTTAGTATATCTCTTTCATAATTTATAAATATATTATTTTGAAATAAAATCGTATATTATTTTAAAATGAAATCGTCACAAAATAAGTTATATGCAATGAAAGTATTATAAAGTATTATATTTTTTATAAAAAATTTGTTTAGTAATAATTTTTTTTATTTTATTATTAATATTTTACTTATTATTATTTTATATTAATTTTTTATTTTATAATTTATATTTATGATTTTTATAATTAGACCACGCTCTTTTTATTATTATTATTGTAATTATATTTTAAACTTATTATTATTAATAATATTATTGTTTACTTATTACAACATTATATTAAATTCCATTATTTTCCCTATTCATGACCCATCATAACATCAGGTTTGAGATCAAGGTCAATGCATCCCACTTACTATCAAATATATTAACTAACTTAGCAGAACAGAAAATAATATTATAATTTTCTAACGCAAAAGAAAAATTAAAATAAGAAAAAAGTTGATTTTTTTTCTAAAATAATATTAAATTAATAATGGATTATGCAAATAGATGTTTAAAATTTTATTTAATGAAATAGATTAATTTATGTCAAAATTTGTTTCAGAGGAACCAATTTTCAAATGAGAACTAATCTAAGTGATACCTTTTGAACCAAATTATGAAATATATTTTGACTCTTTCTTTTCCTTTGATATTTATATATATAGATATTTATACATGAATAATATATATATATATATATATATATATATATATATATTATTATATTAATTATAAATAAATAAAATATTAATTTTAGTGTAAAATAAATATGACATAAGAAACAAAGAGAAAATAATTTCATTTATAATATTTAATTTTATAAAAATAGTTGTATATATTTTAAAAAAGTAATAGATTTTTTTAATATTTTTTATATTAACATTAATAACATTTTTCAATTATTTTAATTTATTTAATATTTTTTATATTATTATTAGTATATTTATACGAAATTGTTTCTTATAAATATTTATTAAAATAACAACTGTAAAGTAAATATATATATATATATATATATATATATATATATATTAAATTGATGTTTAGTCTTTAAGAAAAAATATGATTTTTTTCCTATTTATTTATTTAGTATTTTCTAATTCTCTGACTAATTCTATTTTATTTTTTCCAATTTATTTAAATTAATTATTTGACTAATTCACCTATTTGCTTGTCTAATTAACAAATTTAGTTTGATTTTCAAAATAAATTTTAAAGCAATAATGAGTTCACTTCTAGCGTTAGTTTTGACACTAATAGTTTACTTTTCACTTAGCTTGGTCACATACGTGTAATTGGTTTCAAGGCAAAAAAAAATGCCTACAATTAAGTATAAGACAAAATATATAAAATAATAAGTTGAGTAATAAAATTCATAGAGTAAAAAATAAGAGATAAAATGTGTCACTAACCTAAATTTTATCTTTTATGCTACATTTAATCTTTTTGGAAATAAAAATTGTCATGTTTATTAATTTTTTAAAGTGAAAACTAGCAATATTTTTCATAAGAAGTGAACAATAATTTGGAAATTTACTAGTTTAATAATTTTTATTTATACTCGGTTTATCCATTTGATTCGCTGCAAACGAACGGCTGTGACAACGCAAGCTTGCTCTTAGTCACCATTCTTCAACTGATTCGAACAAAACCTCCATGGTAGAAGGTAAGAGCTAAAACCCATCTTATGCTGATTCATGAGCTATTACTGTAACTTGTTATAACTTCAATTATCTGAAAGAGGGTCTCCTCTTTGGTTTCTAAATTTCTGAGAAATGATTAGCACTTGGCCCTTCAAAGTTAACCACTGGGTCGCCCCTCGCTTTGAAATAGGCCATTTCGGTATCTCTGATCTCAACAGGAGAAGAAGGGTGAAATTAGGTTTTGTTTTTAAAGTTTCTCATAGTGCAAAAGTTAGTGTGTTTCAATGTTCAACAGGGTATGGGACTGTGGTCTTTTCTGGGCACTCAAAATTGGATTTGAGATGTGGGTTTTTGTTGGGATGCTCTGAACCCAAATTTGGCATCATTTTGAAGCCAAACAAGAGTCATGTTGGGGACTTAGCTCCACCCCTGGGGTGGGCATTGGAGGATGAAGGAGTTGTGAGTGAATTGGTTGAGGAAGGAGTTGGGAGTGAATTGGTTGAGGAGAAAATCGATTCTAATGGTGCATCGGTTAACGGTGAGTCAGAGGATATAAAGTCTTTGAATTTGGATCGAGTCCAGGACAGTGAATGCGAACCAAAAGTTGGTGTTGGTGACAATAGCAAGGACGGTGGCAAAGAAGACAGTGATGACAAGATTGATGTTAGAGCACTAGCCTTGAGATTGCAGACCGCAAAGACAGTGGATGATGTGGAGGAGATTCTTGTGGACAAGGGGGAGTTGCCCCTCCAGGTGTTTTCCACGATAATTAGCAGTTTTGGTAAAGAAAAAAGAATGGATTCTGCTTTGATTATTTTTGAATGGATGAAGAAAAGGAAGATAGAAACTAATGGCTCTTTTGGGCCTAACCTTTTTATATATAACTGTCTATTAGGTGTTGTCAAACAATCTGGACAATTTGCAGAAATGGAAGCCATTCTAAATAAAATGGCTGAAGATGAAATCTCCTATAATGTTGTGACATATAATACCTTGATGGCAATTTACATTGAGAAAGGAGAATATGACAAAGCTCTCAACGTGCTTGAGGAGATCCATAAAAATGGCTTTACCCTGTCTCCGGTATCCTATTCTCAAGCCTTATTGGCATACCGGAGGATGGAAGATTGCAATGGTGCTCTAAATTTCTTTGTTGAGTTAAGAGACAAATACCGTCTAGGTGAAATAGGAGAAGATGATGATGGAGAAGATTGGGAGAGAGAGTTCATGAAGCTTGAGAAGTTCACAATCCGCATATGCTATCAAGTAATGCGCTGTTGGCTCGTCAGACGTGATAACTTGAGCAACAATGTGTTGAAGTTTCTTGTTGATATGGATAATGCTGGGATTCCACTGTCACGGGCTGATCTTGAACGGCTTGCGTGGGCTTGTACCCGTGAAGATCACTACATTGTTGTGAAAGAGCTGTACACCCGGATTAGAGAAAGGTATGATAAAATCAGCTTGTCTGTATGCAACCATGCAATTTGGTTGATGGGGAAAGCAAAGAAATGGTGGGCTGCTTTGGAGATATATGAAGATTTATTGGATAAAGGGCCAAAACCAAATAACTTGTCATACGAACTCATAGTCTCTCACTTCAATTTTCTGCTCACTGCAGCCAGGAGAAAAGGAATTTGGAGATGGGGTGTTAGGTTGTTAAACAAGATGGAGGAAAAAGGCCTAAAACCTGGAAGTAAGGAATGGAATGCAGTTCTTGTGGCCTGTTCTAAGGCTTCGGAAACTACTGCAGCAGTGCAAATATTCAAACGAATGGTGGAAAATGGTGAAAAGCCCACTATGATATCATATGGGGCTTTATTGAGTGCTCTTGAAAAGGGGAAACTCTATGATGATGCCCTCCGTGTGTGGAACCATATGCTCAAGGTTGGGATTGAACCAAATGCATATGCCTACACAATTATGGCTTCGGTTTATACAGCACAAGGAAATTTTAATAGAGTTGATGCCATCATTCAGGAGATGGTAACATTAGGAATTGAGGTAACAGTAGTAACATACAATGCCATAATTACTGGGTGTGCCCGTAATGGTATGAGCAGCGCAGCATATGAATGGTTTCACAGAATGAAAGTTCAGAACATCACCCCCAATGAGATAACTTATGAAATGCTGATTGAGGCCCTTGCAAATGATGGAAAACCAAGGCTGGCATATCAGCTATATACGAGAGCCAAGAATGAAGGTCTTACCCTCTCTTCTAAAGCCTATGATACAGTTGTCCAATCCTCCCAGGCTAATGGTGCAACCATCGAATTAGGTCTTTTAGGACCTCGCCCTGCTGATAAAAAGAAGAAAGTGCAAATTAGAAAAACATTGACTGAATTCTACAATTTGGCTGGTGTTCCCAGGAGAAGCAAACCGTTTGATACAACTGAAATTTATCACTCACAGACACAAGAAAGTCCATAAATAATTTAATACATTGAAATTAGCACAGCCAAATATTATGTAAGCTCTGTACATTCTGCTCTGTCATAGCATTAGATTTTTTGTATCTGTAGGCCAAGAAGGTAGAAGAATCACAGTCATGTTTTCTTCCACTATTGCAAGCCAAATAAAGCCAAATAGAGAGAGAACCATTTTTACGGAATTATCGTTAGAATTCTGGCTCAAATATTTGGAAGTACAGAAGTTTGTTCCTCTTATGTTCCTCTTGCTTCCCTCCTGTGATCAGAAGATAGTAATTGAATCCTTTACATATTTTTATTCTTATTTTTGCGACTTAAAATTTAACATTAAAACTCTTTTGATTAAGTTTGTTCAATTATTGTATTTAGTATCATATTAATCTTTGGCGAGTTTTTCCAGTTGGTGCAATTATTTTTTCTTTCAGGAGTTCATTCACTGTTAAACACGACCTAAAGTATGCAGTCCATAACTCAAACTATGAAGGGAAATCAATAAATTGCAGTTATCAGCAAGAAAAAAAAATGATCATCCCATATACGTGATTTGCCTAATGTCAGAAATAAGCTGTCTTTTTAAAACCGGACTAACGAAGAGGATTTAAAGATTTAATATTTAATCAGGAATTAAGGTATGTAACTCAATTTAATAAAATAATATTTTAATAATATAATAAGTATATAATAAATTTATTAATAATAATATTTTTTTATAAAAGAATGAAAAATAATAAAGATTATAAATATGATACTCGGAAATTATAATAAAAATTATAAATATGAAATATATTAAAGAATATAGGAAGAATAATTGTTAAAATAAAATAAAAATATAATACAATAATTATTATTTAAAGTTAATATAATTAGTATAACACAAAAAATAGAAAAAAATTAAAATATATTATATTTTTTATAAAAAAATATATTAAAACAATTTAATTTTTAATTTTTTTTTAGTAAAATGGTTCGACTAAAAAATCTTTTTTTTTTTAATTTTTCCTGATTTAATTAAAATGGGTTTGGTGATGATGCATATTGGGACAACAAGTGTTACAAAAATTTAAAGACCAAAATTGGATCAATATGTTTGTGTTTTTTTTTAAATGTTTTTTTTTTATAAAATAAGCTTAGTTATTTGTTTTTATGTATTTGTTTAATTTACTTGTTTTAGGAATAAATAGTTTTATTTTTTTATTTTAAGAAGAAAAACTTATATGTATTTTAAACAAGTATTTTTTTTAATAAATTTGATTATTTTAAAAAAATACTTATTTTAAATTTAAGCAAACTGGTGCTTATTTAGTTTATCAGAAGTTTTTAGAAATATTCAACAAACCTTGTTGTATTGAATTTTTGCCTGTTCCTTTCCTTTTTAAAACCATACCTTTTACTTTTAGGCATTCAAATATTACAATTTTAGTTTTTTCGTGTCAAACTCCACTAATTGAATATGGTATTTATTGTAATTTTGCATTAAAATAGGGATTTGCTAACTAATTTAGGAGTTGAATCCATCAACTTTATAAATAAATTTAAATGTTATAAGTCTCTCAAGTTTAATTGATATCTTTAGTTTCTATAATTTGGAAAAAGTTTTTTTTTTTTTCTAATCTCTCAACCAAAATTTCCTATTTATAAGTGCCTGTGAAGGCAAATACTTTAAAAGAAAAAAAGAAGTATGTGACCAGATATTTACTGATAAGAATGAAAAACGAAAATAAATTGTTATATAAACAATTTGTAATTTTTAGTTATCATGTAAAACATTCAATGATGTGAAAGATAAGGGGACTAAAAGAAAGATTTTTCAAATTATAAGGACTAAAAAGATTAATTGAGTTTGGAATATGTTATAGGAATACAAATAACTCTAAAAATAAAGAGTAAACTCGTTACAATTATGCCTTGTGATGGCTTAACTTTATTTTCAAATTGTTGGAAGTGTTTCCCACTTGTTTAAGCATAAACATTGACTATAAAAGTGGTTTTGTTAACCAGTGATATTCGAACATTATTTCTATCAAGAGTATACTTTTTGACATATTCTTCTCAAAACACTTAAATTGTTGTTGAGTGAATTTCATAAAGATCTCGGTAAATAAAGATTGAAGATAGTTTAGTGCAGCTGAATCTACATAAAAATCACAATATGCTGCTTTTTGCTCAAATATGCTCACAATAAACAAGGTTACAGATTATAATTAGAAAAAATTTCCTATACATTGAAAATATAACAAATTTTGTACTGTCATCGGGATTTTTTACAAATACTTTGGAAAAATCATATCCACTATGATTTTTGGTTAAGAAAAAAAAACAGTTAGACTAACACATCCAAAATTGGACTGAAGATTACACCCATGACATTAAATTTATGAATTACATGGTCTTCATATCATGAATTTTCTTCGTCTCTTACAACATGTGATCCGTGGGAAGATCCGTTTCTTGTCCCCTTGAAAGACTTAAAACTAACCAACCTAGCAAAGGCACTCTTTGATCTGCTCATTCTTGGACCTTCACGTTTCTGATCATCAGATAACGATTTTACAAGATCATCGAAGCGTCGCTTGAAGGTTAGAAACCTTGACATGGATTTCGTGATCCCTTGCAATCTGTGTTTAAGAATGGAAACAAAAATGAGACTGAAAATCTTAACATCGATCATTGGAACGAAACCTCTCTGAAGAAAAAGCATCATCAGAAAAATGGAGTGGGGCAACGTATTAAACAATGTAGCTAGCTACATTGGGTTGAGAGTAGCTTCTAACGTGAAAATTTTTCATGAGATGACTTGATTGCTACTTTATAATGAAATCCCTTAGAAGTTTGAGAAGTGTTTATGGAAAGTTAGATGCGGTAGTATTTGAAGATGCTAAGATTCATACGTGATTCTAAGGTATTGAAAAGTTTTGATTTATTTCAAGAGAATAATATATTTTACACTAGCAGAAGAAAAGAGTTTTTCAATATCATTCAATCACAGAACACTATGCATGGTAAGTTTGTTTATTTTATTAATTCCTTATTTTATTTTCTTCCATAAATACTTGCTAAGAAATCTATTCCAACGAGCTCTAGTTTTTGTTACAAACTTGTTTCTGAGAAAACAGTTTCCAAACATTATATTCTCCAAACTCAGTTTTAACCAAAATCATATTGCAAAAACTTTTTAAGTACCTTCTAGCTAATGCCTCAAGTTCGGCACGTTTGACCTCGGATTCAGGAGCTGGGCCAACGGCAGATGTTTTCAATCTCTCTGCATCACCACTCAAGAGAACTAACTTGCAGAGATAATCCTCTTCTGAGGCAGAAAGATTTTCAGCCTTGATTTGCTCTTTAATGATCAAAAGGGGGTTGAGGAACCAGTCAAAAAATTTCTCTCTTGGTCTGTTTGTGGTAGTTAGTTCAGTATCATCACCTACATGTGTGGCAGGTAACCAAAATGGTTAAAAGAAAATAATCTCAAAAAGAGAAAAGGGCAAGGAGAAGTGATAGAAGGTAACAAGAACTGCTTGAAGGGTTCCACTTACTAATCAATATACCCATGGAATTGAGTTTTGCAGAGCGCAAGAGTCCTTGAACTAAGCAATAAGCTGGCAAACCAATACTAATAACTCTACTGCCTTTACCAGATCTGGCTTCTTCTATGTCTTTTCCTGTAATTAAACCTTCAGAAACCATTTTTTCTCCAACACGATAACATTCCTTGAATAAGCCATCGAACAGCTACACAATTCATAAAGAATATCATAAGTACAGTCCCTCAAGCTACAAAACATGAGCTCGTCCAAGGAAGATAAAGGTGATATTTGAGTCCCATAATTTGAAACAAGATATTACAAAGAATACCTCAAACGATTTCAACTCAGCAATGTTCTTCATTGAAGTCGAGCGAGAAGGAGCCTTTCGGAAGGAGTTAGGTCTTGAGGTGGAATCTGAATTAAATGTTCTTTGTGATGAATCAACTTCTCTTTGAAACTGAGGCCTATCATCAGATGTCAATTCCATAAGAACATAATATAAAAGCATTATTAACTGTAGGTCACAGTGATAAATGCGTGGGAGCAGAAAAAAACCTAGGGAAGCAGGTTCCTTCTGGCATGTCAAGAATATCATTGCTGTATTCATCATAAATAGCCAAAGCTGCAACAACATATGAAAGACCGAACTTGAAAGAAGACTCCTGAAATTTCAGAGAGCGTAGAAACACAGTGAGACAGTTAGGAAACCAGAAGCCAGATGGGAGGGGAAACAGATTTTATTTTACTCACATTCACACGGAAACATCAGAAGAAAATCAGTACAGAGGAAATTATAATCAGAAAATGGAAAAGCCTGATAGATCAAGGTTATGCAATTTCTAAACCATCCCAAAGAGGACTAAGTTAGTAGACGCTGACTAATACAGACCACTTAGCCTTCCCATTACATTCAGGCCACTCGTCCTTCTCCCTCTTAAAAGTATTCCGCTGCTACAAACTAACAATATTTTTCCCTCTCTACCTCTCCTTGCAAGTGCAATAATAAAGAAACGGGTGCTAATAATACTCTATGCCAGTACTTTCATCATATCCTCAATGTGAAATTCCAATAAATTATCCTGTAGTCTGATAGATCTTGCACTGAAAGTCACCTCCTGTTTACCATCATGTCCAGTTTGCAGTTGCAGCACAGCTCCACAGCAAGATATATTTTAAGCTCTCGTTCTCTGAAAGTGTTGGTGATAATGGCTGACTGCTGACAATTGTACCTACTAGCATGTCTGCATTCTAGAAGTTTAAAGCAACCTGCACTAATTCAATGACACACCTCTCAAGGCCTGTAAAATATTGGATTTCGATTCTCATTTATCTAAGGCAAATACTGGCTGTATATATGGTTGAACCTTTATGTGGACTGAGTCTCAAAGGCACTTCACATCCCTTCTATTCTTATCACTGTACGGCTTCATTTTGTTATGAGAGCACCAAATATGATTTGAGTTATTCTTTTGGCCATCAACTGGATAACTTCTACGATTGATAAATCTTCTGCACATTTGAGCAATATTGGAGGGTCTCTTCCATATATGGTCCTAGAGGAAACATTTCAAGGAAATGTGAAAATTACTACAACTCAACCCAACTAACTAAGCCAGCTGGGCCACTGGTTAGATTAAGATTATGTAAAGCATCTCAGATACTGTTAGGAACCAAGAATTAAACAGAAAAAGAAAAGAAAGTTTCTTTATTGAATAGAATGAAAAGACCAAGAAATAGGATAACACTCTCCTCCAAGGGTTTCCCTTTCACAGAGAATTTCTCCTTTTACAAAGAGCTAATGTTCAATTTACAAAAAATATCCACACCCTTCTCCTATCCTTCACACCTTATTTATATCTAAACAACACCTTATGCAACTAACTAACTCATTAATATGCTAACTATTTTACTAATTTCTCCTTCCCCTTATACCCTAACAGATACACTGACATTTCTGTACGTCCAATTGAACATCCAACTGTGAATTATAGACAAAGCTGAGTTTTAGAGGTTTCTGACTGTTTAAAGAGATCAGTACAAAATTGTCTCGTAAAAATGTGATCTCTTTCTGAGACTATGGTAAAGCATCCCAAATATACAAACAATTTCTGTATGTCCATTGAACATTCAACCATGAATGGTATAGGTAGAGCTGAGTTTAGATTCCAAATGTTTAAAGAGATCAATCCAAAATTGTCTCATAAAAATGTGATCTCTTTATGAGACCGGTGAAAAGAAAATCCATGAAGCATTGTAAATTCTTAAATAAATAAGTCAGTAACTATTAGAAAGTGGATTTAGACCTAACTCAACCTTAAAAAGTTAGTTTATAAGGTACGGTTTATACCCCGCTTATATACTATAATTTGATCCTAAATTCTAAATCTGAAATCAAGCTAAAGAGAGATCATGGGACTAGATATTTATGGGTGGTCTAATAGTAGTTGAAACCTAGTCCAACAAACCTTAGGATATTCTCTAATATTATATTAGAAAGGGGATGTAGGCTTAACTCAAACTTACAAAACTAATTAGTCTGGTGAGGTTTGCACCCTAATTATAAACTATAATTTGACTATATCTCTAATCAATAAGTGATGTCCAATAGTACCTTTTTAGCAGTAAGTTGGTGGCAATGGGGCAAAAAACGATTACTGTACTTAGCATAAGTTGATCAATACCACCAAAATGGTATCCATCTTTAGGACTTTAGGAAGTTCTTCAATAAAATCCAATGTAAATCCCATTGCATTCCTGTGTAGTATTTACATTGGCAAAGGCAGCAACCCAACATGATATAGAACTTAATTCTAACTATCAGCAGTAGATAAAGGTTGTTACATATTCCTTATGCAAGTGTAACAGGAAAGTAAGTGTTTTCAATACTAGCCTTCATTCCTTCACAACATCAAGCAATCAATCCTCTTATCTATGGTTTCAACAAAATTGCTATCAAGTGGACAGGTGTGTATACTTCCTTAATTTGTATCCTGCCTGATACTGTTAGGGTACAAGGGAAAAGAGAAGTTAGGAAGATAGTTAGCATATTAATGAGTTAGTTAACTGCATAAGGTGTTGTTTAGATATAAATAGGGTGTGAAGGATAGGAGAATGGGGGGAATATTCTTTGTAAATTGAGCATTAGCTCTTTGTAAAAGGAGAAATCCTTTGTGAAGGGGAAACCCTTGGAGGAGAGTCTTCTCCTATTTCTTGTTCTTTTCATTCTATTCAATAAAGAAACTTTCTTTTCTTTTTCTGTTTAATTCTTGGTTCCTAACAATTGGTCCGTCCTGCCGGATCCAAAATCAAGGAGCCATGGAGGGAAGAGTAGGAGTGCTGGAAAAGTGGGCTGAACGGTGGACCAGTGAACAGGAAAAAGTGAATACAGAGCTGAGAAATGTCATTCAAGAAATGAAAGATTTCCTCAAGAATTTCAAGAAAAGTGACAGAGAATCTGAGAAGAGTGAAAATTCAGTACAAGGGGGGATAGGAGGACGATTGGAGCAAGAAGATTCTGAGGAAGAAGAAGTAGTGCAGAGACAGTGGGTGAAGAGGGTGGATCTACCTGTGTTTGAAGGAACTGACCCTGTGGGGTGGATTGGAAGGGCGGAAAAATTCTTTGAGGTACATGAAATCAATTCTTTTGATAAGCTGCAATATGCATTCATGAGCATGGAGGGTGTGGCAATGCATTGGTTCTATTATTGGTACCAAGATAACTTGAATTTAGATTGGGAATCTTTTTCAACAGCTTTGATAAAAAGGTTCAAAGATATCTATGACAGCCACATCTTTGAAAGATTGACTACCATGAAGCAAGAAGAGCAAATTGAGAGTAAAACATGCAGCAAAATAATGGAAACTCCCACAATAGTGTATAAAGAGGGTGACCCACATCTGGTTGAGCAAGAAAAAAATAGCATGGAGGGAAGCAGGTCAAAATGCATTGCAGCAGAGATTAGTTCTTGGATAAGAAAGATGGAAGTACCCATATTTGCTGGAAGCATAGAAGGGGAATTTGATTCCCAGAATAGCAGTTTTGAGAGTGATAATGATCATTTTCTATTCTTGAAATCAAAAAATAGAAGTAAAGAAGAAGACTCAATAAAGTATCACACCCTTGATAGTGCAGAAGAAACCAAAAATGAAGAGAATTTAGCAAGAGAAGCAAAGATTATGTCATCAAGAAAGACTAGGAAGATGATGAATTTCCATATAAAGAATCAGGAATCATTGTTGGACCCAAATCTGATAGGGAAGGTGGTTGGAACAACAATGGCATTAGAATTTTGGAATTTTAATTTTCTTGATGATTACAACTTGCCAATGGAGACAATGCAAAAGCAAGGTTTGAAGGTTGTTATAAAAAATCCACTCTCATTTCCACCCCCACCCAAGCCACCTGATCTAAATTTGAATGCATTAGCCACTGGTTCTCATTCTTATACCAAAAAAAGACATCACATGCAAACAGGAAGGATAAATGAAAATCATGGTAATAAGAATGAGCAATGGGATCAAGTTTCTACTATACAACCTTGAGGACAAGGTTGATTTTGAGGCGGGGTGTATTGTTAGGGTACAAGGGAAAAGAGAAGTTAGGAAGATAGTTAGCATATTAATGAGTTAGTTAACTGCATAAGGTGTTGTTTAGATATAAATAGGGTGTGAAGGATAGGAGAATGGGGGGAATATTCTTTGTAAATTGAGCATTAGCTCTTTGTAAAAGGAGAAATCCTTTGTGAAGGGGAAACCCTTGGAGGAGAGTCTTCTCCTATTTCTTGTTCTTTTCATTCTATTCAATAAAGAAACTTTCTTTTCTTTTTCTGTTTAATTCTTGGTTCCTAACAGATACATTCCATTTTTGTATTGCTGAATAATTTTTTCCGTAGTCTTCATGTAGACAGAATTGTTTTTATCTATATTCTTACCTGAATTGTAGCCTTGTCTGAAATTGTGCATAACAACCAACATATGGTCTGAAATTGCTTGTCCTGTGCATTGAACAACAAACAGCAGACAGAGCAAAAGTTGAATTGTGTATGTGTTATGTTGATATAAAAGCTCAAAGCAAACTTGAAGCTTGAAGGTTTGATGCTCCTAACCGCTATGTTTATGATGATACAAGTGATGATGATTTTGATCTCTAGTTTGATCTTGGATTTGGGTTGTATTTTTTAGTGTTAAAAGTGTTGTAAGTGGTTTCTCTATCCTTGAAGTGTTTTGCTCATGTTTGGAATGTGTAGTGTTGTTTAATGGATTAAAAATATTCTAATACGTTAAAAAATGGTCTTAAATTTGCTAGGTTTGCAGTGACGACCATTCTAATCATGAAATCTCGTTTAATCCATTATATTCACTTAAGCATTTCAAGGTCTGGAAGGATTATTATTGGTTAGTTGATTAAAACGACTTTCTAATCAATTAAAGTCATTTAATGTTAACTCTTTAGTGATTTTAGATGGATTAAAACCCTACTACCACACACTAGACTAAGTGGATTAAACAAATTTTAATCCATTAAAACTAACAATTATATAAGTTGGCTATCTTATGCTACTTCTGAAAAGCCAATTTGGAAAAAGTTTTAAATCATTACAAACACATGAGAGAGAAGCTATGTACTTAGGAAAACCACTTGATTGAGTTGTGCTACAAAATATTTGGTATGGAGTTCATAGATTGAGAAAATCACATTGTGGCACCTTTGTAGTTTTTCTTCCCATCTTGTGCCACACTTGTCCAGGTGATTTTGTTCCTTTATCTTTGTTTTTTGGGTGTATATGTTCTTAACAAAGGGGTGGTCAAGGTATTGCTTGAGATAGGGTTTCACAAGTGATGGTAGGAGATCTTGTAGAGTTCAAGATCATGGTGTTTGAGTTTGTTCTACACTAGGGTTGTCAAGGTGTTTCTTGTGTTAGGATTTCACAAGGGGTAGTAAGTGATCTTGTAGGAGGTGTTTTGTGTTATTTCTTGTTTTATTGTGTGTCTTATCAAACTTGACCGTACAGTGAATTTGTTTAATTGGGGTAATTAGACAACTAGATGTAGCTCTTGTGTATGTGCGAACCAATATAATTTCTTGTTTTTTATTTTTTCCTTATCTTCTACATATTAAATCTGAATTGGAACTTGTTTGCATGCTTATTGGGGGGGGGGGGGGTTAAAGAACATTATATTGGAATTTATTGAAGCTTAAATCAGTTCTTCTATAAGTGCTATCTTGACTCAAAGGAAATTGTTCATCCATTACAAAAATCTTTAAAAGTTCAATTCACCACCCTCTTGAACTCAGTCATCAATTCTAACATGTTATTTTATTTGTGCTTCCACCAAACAAGCAGAAATGGAAGTACTAATTTATATTACTTGAATATTGTTTCAAACGCCATTTTCTAGTTTTATCTATCATATAACAACCGGTCTAGAAAAGCATAGGGCATTGACGTAATAGGGAGCCTACCACCAAACTGCTACACATTTGTAATTGTCTGACCTATGTATATCATAATTGGCTATAATAACAATAGTAGTATAGTACAAGTAGGTAGTGAAAAGATATGAGGACTGACCTGATAAGCAATAATCCCTGCATATGCACCAAGAAAGAAACTTGCTAACATGGATGCAAAAACTGCCCCACCAACAGCCAATGGCCACATAAGGATAGCAAGACCTGCAAAAGGCACACATATGGTCTCCAGGAAAGGGCCTTCACGGCCAATAAGGTCATGAAACAATCGATGCCACCCCTTAAAAAGCATGTATGGACCTTTGCATAGGGCAACCAAAGATATAACTGGCACATCAACTATGATTCCAATAACTGCAGCTATTAAAGCACCAGGAATATAAAGCAGCCTGGATTAAAGCAGGAAAAGAATCAAAATCAGATAGCGCACATCCTGTGTCTGACAACATATTTTGCATATTATGACCAGAATTTATCTAGAATTCTTTGTCATGGTCCCATTTTGTATTTCTTTTATGTTTCAGAAAAACAGCAATTCAGATTACTTATCTTTCGGTATAGTTGAATATTCCTACGTTAAATCTATCAGAAAGTAAAGATACAACTAGCACATAAATTACATAAGAAAGAAGAACATAATTAAACAATTAGTGTTATCTGGTTCACCATGTATTGTTTTGAACCAAAAAACAGAAAATTTTGAAAAAAAAATAATAATAACTAACTGAGAATTTTTGGTAGTTTGATTTCTACTTTTATCGAAATGTCACCTAAACCAGAAGATATCCACAAAAACAATTATCCTTCTCTCAGATTCTATCCAAGATCTTCTTTCAATATTTTCAGTAATATGCTAAACTTGCTCATAAGTTCGGTATGCAAAAGATTGAAGATTAAAATAACCCAACCAACACAGTTTAGTATGTATGACACAGTTTGTGAAACATTTAACATTCTTAGCTCCTTTAGTTTCAAAGTAAATAACTACTATTCAAGTGATAACATACTGTCTACACAACTAAGATTTAAAACTTGAAAAGCTTTAAAGTGTAAGCATGGCCTACAAACAGTCTTCCTTCACAACCGGGAAAAAGTGGAGCCCTCAACCAAAAGGAAGAACTTAACCACTATTAACTCCTGATATATATGATTGGCAATTTGGCATTACTATGAAGTGACCCTTTCTATCAAAAACATCTTAATTAACAAAAAAATTGGATCTGGATACCAATACAAAATATTCCAAGAAATGCTTTAAAGATATAAGAGCAACCCACAAAAGGCACCAACTGGGTTGGGTCAAGGTAGCGTAGCTGTATGCAGCCTTACCCCCAGAAAGTGAAGAGATTGTTTTCAGGTTTTGAACCAGTGACCTCCAGGTCACAAGGCACAACAACAGCATAAGAAACAAAATAGAGAGCCATACAAGGACAAAACCTGATCTCATAGTATTTTGCATCTGGAGGTCCTTTTTGTCGCAGGTCATCCATAACCGAGAAATATGAATAGAAAGCAACATCTTTTACATCCCTTACAACCATGCAGCTCTTTTCAATTGTGCTCCATGTACCGTCCTGACAATTTAGAACAAAGTTTCTGAAATTAATCATTGTAAAGCAGATATAATGAGCATTTAAACAACAAGAAATAAAACATGGTAAACATACAATGAAACAGTGGTAAAGTTTGTCATCTTTTCCTTCCTCTACAGCCTCAAAAGTAGCAAATATGGGTGACAGAAATCCATAGGCTGCTCCACCTAGAATACTTCCAAGAATACCAATCATCGGCCACAGAACCAACAGCACTGGTAGTACACACAGGCAGATAAGAAGCTTCAGAAGTGGCCCAAATTGTTTAGCTCTGTCCGTTAGGGAAATCACCATGAGAAAGTAATTACAATTTAATAATACAAGGACAGTGAAAGAGTGGCAGTCAAGGAAAGCACCTCACAACACAGTAATATGTCCAAACAGCATGCGCTGTCCAAAGTGCAAGTATGATAGCAGTGTTCCCAGTTGCAATTATTATGCATATCAAAGGGCAGAAAAGGATACCTGAAGTGATTGGCAGTTTGAGCAATGATGAGTAAGGTTTACAATCATACTTCTCACGTATAACCCTACCCCTAATCTTCTCTATTATAGTAAAGCATGACATACAAGAAGCTATTACATATTCCATAATGGAAACTGGACATGAAGCAGGTATACAAATTACTTAAATTCCGTGGTTTTGCCATGAAATAAGTCCAAGCAGACCTGAAAGAATTATATAGTGGGCTGTCATTAAATTTATACCTTTCTAGTTTCCACTTTCAAAATTCTGTGTTCCTATGATATTACATTTTCTGCTGTTGTCATAAACGAATCCATAAGATTCATCATTAACAAAAACACAAAATTCAAATATTTCTCCTTATTTATGAGATGAGATACTAAGATTCAAGGCGTACTTGACAGAAATTAATATAATAAAAACGAATAATAGTCAACTAACAATGGTCACAAGGCAACATGTGAAAACCCCACGCCAGGCTCTACATAGCCTCCCCACCGTTGATTTAGGAAAAGAAAGCTGAATACATTTCACATCAAAATCACTGAATAGTTAACAAATTATAAATAGCAAAAATAATATACGCAAAGGTGGTCCATTAGTATTTCATTTCCTGAAGTAACAACCTACAAACCGTCTATGTTCAAGTTCAATCAAGATATTCACAACAAAAAGAACGCAGAACAGATCCTTTGCCATTTACCTTTGATGTTGCCAAGAAGCAGAAGCCCAACGAAATAAGGAAGAAACCGGATGAAACTCCACAAAGAAGCACAAAACCCCGTCGGAGGCTCCATTCAGATCTCTGCAAAAGAACAGTACAAACTCATCACACTCCCGGTTCCCCACTCACCACACTCAAGTTAGAGAAGATCCAATCCTTGACCCTGTCAACCTTTAATCAGCAGTTAAGAATTGTTTCAAATAAATACCTAGAAGCAAAAAACCCGTTTCCTCTGCAGTGATAAACTAGCACGAAAACTGAAACTTGCCCTGCCCCTAATTCTGACCACGGAAACAAATTAACCTTCACGAACCCCACTTTGTTGGGTTCTCCAACTTCATAACGGTAAATAAAAAAAGTTAACTTTGTCGAAAAGGGTGCAAGCTGCTGAATGTGACTTCTCTGGCACTGTTCAAAGATTTTAAGTCTGAAAAAAAAAATCGGAAGAATATTAATGAAGCAATTTGGATCACAAAAAAAGGAATCAGAATCTCATAATGGTTAGCCAAATCCCCATATAGGAGGATTCGTTTCACTTTTTCCCCCTTGTTGCTTCCAACATTCAGGATATATAGCGTGTAGAAACAATTTTGTTCTTTTTTGCTTGGGCCAAAAGCAAAAACAAGTCGAAGGTTCGTGTCTGTGTGCTTTTATGTAACTGTTAATGATGTTAGGTGCCTCTTTTTTTTTTTTATTCTAATTTGTATTTGAAGTTGAAGCAAAGAGGTGCTGATTCTTGTTAATCATGTGACCTCTTGGCTGTTATAATTTGCGGGAAAATATTAATTGCAATTGAAAGTTGATGAAAAACAAAAGGAAACTAAAAATTATATTTTTTTAATTATAATATTGGTCATTCTAATTCCTAATTTACTATCTTGATTTCCTTCTATTTCCTTTTTATCTGCCATTTTAGTTTTCATGTTTATTTTGACTGCCAGTTTTCATTTTTTTTTAATTTGTAAATTTGATTTTATTATTGTTTAACATAGATTTTATTTTGGTTATTTCGTTAAATTCAAATTTAGTTTCAACGTATTCAGTACCATCAATAAATTACTTAATTGTAAAATATAAAAAATTAAACATATATAAAAAAATATCGAAGATTTGAACAAAATTTCCAAATTAAAAAAAAAAACTAAAATACAAGACTAAAATGAGAAAAAAAAAGAAAGAGGAAAAGGACCAAATTATAATTTTTAATCTTAAATTTTAATTTGTTAATTTTTATATTAAAATATTAACTAATCGAGCTTAATTTTTATTATTAAAAAGTATTAACTGATTGATATTAATTATCTGTCAAATGATTATTCAGTAAATTAAATTATTTCCTCGTGATTTTATATTTTTTAAAATAATTACATTTTGTAAATATTAATTTGCATGATAAACAAGTTTTCAAACTTTTTGTACTTATGTTTAAATTCATTTAGTTTTTAATCATTTAGTATATTAATTCACATTTAATAAATTTGTTGAATATGTAAATATTTATTTGTAAAATGTATGTGTCATTTTTTTAAGTTGATATTTTATTTTATTTTCTTATCTAAGTTATTATTGAGATTTAAACATAAATATTTTTTAAGATTATTTTTATAATTCTCTAATTGTCTCATCTTTTTCTTGTTTTTTTTAAGTACTTATTCATCTTTTATATCAGATATTCCAAATTATCATTAAAAAAAAAAAGTAAACATCTTATTCCGAGTATATAATTATCTCAATTGGTAATTCTTTATTTTTATTCAATTTATCTAATATCAATTCCTAAATTGGATGAATTTTTAACTTATTCTCTTTTTATTTCTTTTTCCCCCTTTTTTTTTTCCTTCTTTCTGTGTTTTGCCACCAATCATTTCCACCTCACCACCTAGTCTTTTCTCCACACACATCTATCAAGAACCATTTCCTATCTTTGGTATCTCTATAATTGAGTCAAACCAAGAAAAAAAAATAACATAAAATACACCAAGAACTTTATCAATAAACAATCTCCACCCTCACAACTTTCATCAATTTCAACTCCTAAAAATCACCTATAATTCAAAACAATTACACCACTAGAATCATCACAATATATATATTATAAATCACTAAGATCCACCATAAAATAAAAAGAAAAAAAACCACTAAGAATTACCTAATCTTTCCTTTAACCATCATTTGTCTAATTCATAAATCTAACCAAGATTGTTTCAAGAACTTATAAAGAAGCAACCAGTTTAAGCTAAACTTCTTACCTAAGCATTAAATTAACCTTTTGCACCAAAACCTAATTAAAATCTATCACAAAAATCTCATCGAGTCAAAATTTGACTGTAATAAAGATATTTAATGCTTGTAATTAAGACAAATTTATCCTTAACTAAGTAAATTTTTTGTTCAAAGTGAAGCACAAAACAATCTAAGTGCAAGTAGCCAAGCATGAAAAGAATATCCACCCTACACATGAACCAAGAGGGTTCATAACTTCTTCCATTTTTCTTTTCTTCTTATTTTCCTTTGCTTGGCCAAGAGCAGGTGTTCTTAGTTAAGTTGTTTGATCAAAATACTTCCAAGAGTTGATAAATTATTCAAGTATTAAGGAGAACCTCAATAAGTATCATTACTTTTGTCATGAATCTCAATTGTGGATAGGACTTTGGTTGTGTCATGAATTCTTTTTAGTTCATGAATATGGCTTGTGTTATGAATTTTATTTTTATTGATGGATCTTGTTTGTATATATGGGTTTTGGTTGAGTTTGTGAATCTTAACCACTAATATTAGTTGTTATTGATCTTGGTTATGTTATGAATTTTTTTATTTAAATATCTTGTTTTTTAATTTGTTGTTTTCATCTATGGATGATTCTTCATTATCGTCAAATGAGTCTTCATCGAGAGATAAGTAATGATGGTCAAGTTACATAGAATAAAATGTTAGTATTGATTGTAAATAATAACTTTATGAATTATGTTATGATAGTTCACCTAAACATTCAAGCATTAAAGTTAAGTGGTGATGATCAAGCTACAAAGAAAAACAAAGGTTAATGTTAATTATAATTACTAATATCTTAAACTACTTCATGAATTATGTTATAAAAAATCCATTCAAGTATGACAAATCATTCTTTGGGAAAGTAAAATATTAAATGACCATCCAATGTGTTGTTATCATATGTGTAAAATGATTTATTTTTTCTTGAGTTATGTGCAATATTGCAAAGCAAGTACAAATTAAAGTAAACTTAAAATGTGGAAATTTATAAGAAAATTGGTATATTTTTATACACACGAGTCATAAAAAGTCTTGTGTTAATTTTTTTTATATAGTTATATTTTTTATAAACATTTTATCAAACAGTTCCAATGCAACAATAAATTTGAAAAATTAAGCACAAACATTATCTACATACGAAAAATAATTAAACATAAAATATAAATAATTACACTTAAGTTGAATAACAAATCATTCATAAAAGAAAAAAATTCATAATAATTGTTAAGGTTTCAACATAAAACCAATTGGCTATATGTGGAGTAGCCTAACATGTATTTAAACCATACCAAATGATATGAGGTAGGCGATGTGGGACTTTCAACACACCCCCTCCAACGAAGCCCGCCGGACCAGGCAAAGGGTACTTTTGACCCAACTAAAGGGCAACTTTTGGCCCATGACAATAACCGGAAAGATGTTAGGCTTTGGCTCTGATACCATGTTAAGGTTTCAACATAAAACCAATTGGCTATATGTGGAGTAGCCTAACATGTATTTAAACCATACCAAATGATATGAGGTAGGCGATGTGGGACTTTCAACACAATAATAATTACAATCTAACATATATTAGAACACTTCATTAAATTAAATCATGAAATACAAACTAATACAAAAAAATGAAACAATGTTTTCATATGTTACCTTTTTTACTTGCACTGCAAAATATAAAAACAATATTTGCAAAAAGAACATGGAAAGGAAAGAGCATACTTTGGGGCTGACCATAAAAAACAATTTGTGCTTCAGTGGTAGTTAGTAATGTCTCTAGTCAACACCTCCTTAATAGGACAAAATATAAGGAGTGATAAAAAAATCTCCTTATCTAACACCTTTATTGCATTTAAACTACCATACTCAGTTAAAATCAACTCTAATTGATAAATGTGCAAAATTAAGGATTGTATAAATCTAATTACAAAATTTGTCATGAGATTGAAAAGAATATATAGCATTCAGGAGGAATTTTCAGTTAATAGTATTAACATTTTGCTAATGTCAACTTTGATTGTTACATTACCTCCATGAGATTTTATGTCCAACATATTAACAGTTTTTAAGGCAATAAGTTATATTTTTACCTGTAATAAAGTTATTTTGGTAGAGCAAAACAATTATGCTAGCAATAAAAGCAAGTCTATTTGCTAGAATATCATATATAATCTTGAAGATGTAGTTTGCAACAACAATGGACTTGAATTCCTTGATGTTTTTAACATTATCAACTTTTGGAATTAATAAAATAACACTAAAGTTGAGGCCAAACAATATCCAATTATGTGTAAAAAGCTAAGTCACAACAACATACAAGTCATTGCAAATGATAGGTCAAAATTTTGATAGAAAATTCCACCAAAACCAACTAGGTTAGAGTTCTCTTATGTTCATGGCAAAAATTGCAACTTTGGTTTCCTCAGTGGGAGTGTTGATTAACCAATCATTGTCGTAAGTAGAAACACATGCAGGAATCACACTGTCCACCAAATCAAATGTGTTATTGTTAGCAAAAATATAAATCAATGTAGCACTGCAAAATATGGTTTTCAATTTGATCATCCTTGTATAAAAAGTCATCCAAAACTTTAATTCTTAGAATTTGGTTAAACTTGGTGCAACATCGAGCCATGCTATGAAAGAATTTTGTGTTATGATCAATAGATTTGAACCAATTTATGTTAACTTTTTTTTTCTCTAGAAGAAGTTTTCACATTTGAAAGCAACATTGAGATCATTTTGAGCCTATCTTTCTAAAGCCGAAAGAGACTCCTTCATGCCATAAGTAATAATATCCAATTTGATAGATGAAAATAGTTGTTGTTTAACAATCATTGGGTTATAAATGTTGCAATAAACATTTGTGTTCCATGTGTTTATGAGTCTTCATATTTTTCAATTTTTTTTGAATTACAAACATAGGACAACCTATAACCTCAAATTTCCAAGCTTCTTGAACAATGTTATTGTAAGTGTTATTTTCAATCTACATAAAGAAGAAATTAAGGGATGATGCTTTGAATGTCAAACCAACTTGCAGGGAAGTTAAGAATCAATTAATTATCTAAAATATTCTTAAGAAGTGTACAATATATTGTCCCAACTATCTAAACAACTATGATTGAAGAAAGCTCTATCAAGCTTAAGATCAATTCCATTAATGTCATATCTACCATTGGTCCAGGTATAGAAGTTATCAGTTATAGGAATATGAATGGGTTGATTAGAGTTCACCTACTTATGAAAGTCATCACAATAAATACTGAGAGGCATGTTGCCACTTTGTTTCTCATGCCTGCTTAGAACAACATTCAAATCACAAAAAATGATCCATTTTCTAGTAGTGATAAGTTGATTAGAAAGAGTCAACTACAATTATCTATGACTTTATGTGGTGAGTTGAATCATATATACCAACAATGTTACACTACAAGAAATTTTAATATTACCCACGGATAAAATCCGTCGGTAATATTTTTATTTTTTATTAAATATTTTACTTATATAGCTTATTTATTTTATAGAAATACCCTTCCCTTTACATTTTTTATTATTTATTATTTTCCGCTATTATATTTTTAAAGTCTTTAATTATTATTAGATTAAGAGAATTGTTATTGGCAAGATTCGAACCCAGTACCTTAGAGTTAGAGATCGATACTCCAACCACTAAGCTATCGAAATTTTTTGATAATAATTTACAAATAAATTATATTTATATATTTATATATTTATATATTTATATATTTATATATTTATATATTTATATATTTATATATTTATATATTTATATATTTATATATTTATATATTTATATATTTATATATTTATATATTTATATATTTATATATTTATATATTTATATATTTATATATTTATATATTTATATATTTATATATTTATATATTTATATATTTATATATTTATATATTTATATATTTATATATTTATATATAATTAAATATTTATTTTTAAAATTATTTAATTTAAGAAATTATTATAAATTAATCTAATTATGATTAAATTAAATTATTAAATAAAAAATATTTAATTTTTTAATTAGGTGAATATTTACTAATTGTTAATTTACTGACGGATATATCCGTCGGTAAATTCATTTGTAAATTATCGACGGATATATCCGTCGATAACTAATTATTATTTTACCAACGGATATATCCGTCGGTAAAATCAAATTCCACAAATATTTTATATCCGTCAAGTAATATCGCGATTTTCTTGTAGTGTTAAAAGATTTATTCTTATTATAATGAGTAATGCAAATAACCCGACTAGATATATATAGTCAATTTTGCTTTGGGTGTCAATATTGTATATACACCAAAAATTTGCTAAGACATTGTCCTTATTATTAACTACAAACAATTTGTAATCAACGTAGTCTAAAAGGAAGGAGGAACTTGTTAGGTTGGATCACAAGTTTATTAATTTTGCATAGGCTTTTTAGTGTTAGCTTGGACCTTTCATTGGTTACCATGGTGACATTCCAAAAATATGATATGATGTTATATGGTGCAATATGATATGACTGGTTCAACACTCTAGCTGAGTTAGATGTAATGTGATATGGTATAATGTGAGTTATGTGATGATATATATATATATATATATATATATATATATATATATATATATATATATATTATAATATGAATAGGTAGTTATTATTTGAATAATTAACTTCCCTATTTTTCTGTTTGTGGATTTGACTATATGATATGTTAATTATATGTGAATATATGATATTACAGGAGTAAAAATTATATTGGGATTACGCATAACAACGAGCGGGGCAGCTTTTGCCTCCCTAGTCCCTCGTCCCTTATTTTTTTAATCGTCCCCACCCCGATCTTTGTCGAAGTTGGAAATTAAATCTTCATCTTATCCTTGTTAAGTTTCAAGTTTCCTTGCTCCTATCTCATTTTCGTCCCGTCCTCGATACATATTATTTATAAGAAAATAATTATATTTATAATAAATTAGTTTTAATATTTTTATATACTTTTTATACATGAATAAATATTTATAAATTTACAATTTATAATTATTATTAATTAAATATATTTTTTAATTTATTATATTTATATTAGTATATATATATATATATATATATTATATATATATATATATATATATAAAACATTTAATATTTTTTTATACGAATATAGAATACTTATAACATTATAATAATAATAATAATAATTATTATTATTATTATATTGTATTCAAATATTTAGTAATATATATAAGTTAATTTTTATTTAATTAGTTCAAAGTAATAAAAGTTTTAATTATCAATTTTTTTAATCCTTTAAAATATAATTATTTTATTAAGATAAAAATTGATATATGATAAATAAGAATAATAAGATCCAAAAAATATGATATAATAAAACATATAATAATAAAATAAGATTAGTTATTACAAAGATTTATATAAAATATTTAGAAAAAGAAAAAGAAAAAAAATAACTTTATGTTTGTTATATTGGTTGAAAAGATTGAAAAAAGCATTTGAATGATTAAGGAAATGCGTAAAGGATAAAAGAAAGAAAATAATGTAATGAATTAATTGATATAAAAGATTAAAAAAGACAAAAGAATGAAAATGTTGATAAAAAAACAAAAATGATGAAATATAAAAAAAATAATATATATAAGATAGAAAGAAAATGAAATAATTTAAAAATATTAATTTAAATTTAAATTTAAATATAAGATAAGGGCGAGAACGGAGGCAAGGTCAAGATGAAGATTACATTACTCATCCGATTTTGCCTGTCTTTATCTCCAATTTTTTAAAACGAGAAAACTTGTCTCACTCGTTGATTAACTTGATTTTTTTTCCATCAAATTCTAAGTAAAAACAGATTGATTTTACAAATACAAATTTAATTATCGTCCTAATTAGAAAATTAAGATTTGTTTTGGAAAAAGTTGTTGAAAAAATTATATATATATATATATATATATATATATATATATATATATATATATATATATATGAATATAATCTCGTACTAACACATAATTTTATATTAAATATTTTTTAAATATTACGTATTTTACTTATATATTTATGCATCGTAATAATAATGCGGAGGATTGTAATAAAAAGTTGAAAGTTTAACAAAATCATGTAACAGAGGTTTAACATCAATTCTCAACAAACTATATAATAGAGAAGAGAATAAAATAATCACAACAAAATCAAGTACAATACTTATGATATTATATCTAGTACAATATCCCGTGAGGAGAGGAGAATCAAGAAAATTATATTTTGGGAGAAAAAAAACCTTTTCTAAGTATGAGAACCCTTCTCATCCCTGTCTTTGTTACGTCACACAACAAGAGTTGTTAATGTGAAGTGCCCTTCCAAATTATTCAATCTACTTTATTCTTATCTTAAAGTTATTATAATAATACCTCGATGTTATTTATTTTTATTATTATTTGAAATAAAAATATAATAATAATCTAACTATATTTTTAATAAGTGTCAAATTAGTTGATTTTATTTATATTTAAATTATTTTGGAATATAGTTATAAGAGGATATTTGATTTTTTACTTTATTGATATGAAGTATTGCACAAATGTAAAACAATGAAAATTGTATTTTCTTTACCCTAATACGCATTTAATGAATGCATTAAATGATTTTAGAGTTTTGAACTTACAAACATATCTTATTTGTATTTACTTTGACGTTTTCAGCACACATGGTATATATTTATTATTTTTACTATTATTTATTAAAATTACAGTTATTGCTTTAATATTTATTTTATGCATAGTATAATCATATATTATAACAAAATGTTAATTTAAATTCACATTGAAAATTGTTAAACGTAAATAATCCATAGACGTTACTAATATGACATATTAAACTGACAAAGTCATTTTTTTCTTTTTGATGAAACAATGAATCGACTTACAATCAGTATTGGTATAATAAAAAAACAAAACTACATTTAATCTTTTATTTATTTATTTTTTAAATTAGCAGATGGATAAATGAATTTCTAGTTAAAAAATATTAATTCTCATTCACAATGCTAAATAATTTAATTACCTAAAGAATTTTTTGTTCCATTGATTTAATTATGACAGTAAAATTTTACGTAATTTACTGAAATAATTATTTATCTCTCAAGACTTATTTGAGTGCAGAATAAGATAAAAGTAGGATATCATATCCTATTACATTTAAACTGAATCATATCTTAGTCATCAATCATACTTCGCCTCAAAACAATTACAGTGTTAAAATTTTAAAATATAATAAATATTTTTTTTCTAAAATACATCCTGATTTAGTGGTACAGAAATAGAAAGTTAAATAAAAAAATTGGTTTACTAATGTTAAAATAATTTAAAAAATATATTTAAACAGAAAATATATTGTTAGTACACCAAATAAATTAAATGTATAAAAACATTTTAGCAATTAAGTAAAAATATTTAATAGTGCACTAAATATTTTTACTTAATACATGTACATTAAAGAGAAGATAATAAATATTTTTGTTCCATAAATATTACACGTTTTGTCAATAAATGCCATAACTGCGCTTACGCATTCCCATTAATACAAGCCTACACTTCCCGTGTGATGTTGACCAACTCGTGGAGTATATAAAAAACATCTTGCATAGTTCCAGTGTGACTTCTCAGCAACTATTTTCCTTTTTCTCACACAAAATGCAGGTCAACATTGGGAATTGGGTGACCCTAATGGCCTTATTGTGGATAGGGTTTAGTGTGAGTGTGTTGGAAGGTGTGGCCAATCCATTGAAGGGACATGGGAAGGGTAAGCATGGAAAGGGAAAAAGATGGGCTGTTCTTGTTGCTGGTTCAATGGGTTACCAGAATTACAGGCACCAAGCTGATGTCTGCCATGCCTACCAAGTGTTGAAGAAAGGAGGGCTTAAAGATGAAAACATAATTGTTTTCATGTATGATGACATTGCCAACCACACACAAAACCCAAGGCGTGGCATTATAATCAATAAACCAAATGGCCCTGACGTTTACAAAGGAGTTCCCAAGGTTACTTGAAAACATTCATTCTTCTAACTCATACTTTACTCCTTCGTATGATTTTAACGTGGAAATTGAAGTAATTCATCTCCTCTTTCAAGGATTACACTGGAGATGCTGCAAATAAAAACAACTTTTTTGCTGTGATTAGTGGCAACCGAAGTGCTCTCTCCGGAGGCAGTGGGAAGGTTGTGAATAGTGGTCCAAGGGACACCATTTTCATTTATTATGCGGACCATGGCAGCACTGGTTTTATCGGTACGTTACCTCGTATTTTCAACATTTCATGTCATCTTCTGTTGTCGGTTATGATATAGGGTCTGGTTTTGTGATTACTTGAGATACACACATGACGAGTGTTAATGCATTATTTTTTTCTGAAATGAAAATATTGAAGTTGGTAAATAATAATATCTGATCAGGCATGCCAGTGGGGATGTATGTTATGGCCCACGAGTTCGTGAAAGTGTTAAAAGCCAAACATGCCGCTAAATCCTACAAGAAAATGGTGAGTTTTGCTTTTATGTTGTGTTCAAGTTACACGTTTACATAATATATATAAGACTTCTCAAAATTTTAATTTTTTTAATAAGAGTTATTTAAGAATAAAAAAATATTTTATTATAAATTTTTGTAATATTAAAAATTAAAAAGTTATTTAAATATAACAATAATGATTTCTTTTACTCTTTTTTACATAATCATACATATGCCTATTGCAGTGTATATGAATGTAATAAAATAGAAAATCCTATAAATATTTTATAAATTTTTAAATAATCTATTACATTTTAAAAAAAATCATATCAGGATTAAAAACAATTTAAAAACAGAAAACATAATTAAATTGTTGAAATAATTTTTTTATATATAGTTATATTTTAATAATAACTTTAATTTTTATAATTTAATATAATTGTAAAATTTTATTTGTTACGTAATTTTATTTTAAATTAATAAATACAATATAAATTAAATAGTAAATATCCTTAATATAAGATAAATGATACAGATTAATAAAAATAATTAATTTAGTTACTAATGTACCAAATTAACCTTTATTTTACTGATTATTATTAGTTGATATATAAAACACAAATACTTTCCTATTTAATAGTGGGAAATAAGAAAATAATTTTATAAAAAACCTTATATATACACGAACGAACAATTTCTTCTAAAATATGATTCATAATAAAACCGAAAGGAGTATCAGATCATTCATAAATATTTTAAGACCTTGAGTTTTTTGCAAATATTAATTATTATTTAAGTAATGGCTATAATTTTGAATAATAAGATGTTATAACTGTTTGTAGTAAAAAATTTAAACTATTAAAATAAAAAATACATTTTATTGTGACAATACAAAACCTTTATTAAATTTATTGATTAAATACATTATCATATAAAGCAATAGCAAAATACAGTAACAGTGGAGTTATTACCATTAACATCGTAATTTTTTTTAAATCCAGATAGAATGAGAAAAAAAGAAGAAGAAATGTAAATAAAATGTAGAATGTAATAATAATATTAAAAAAAAAAGAGAAACACATATTCACAATTACTATAATCTTAATAATGGAATAGGATCAATTGACAAATGCTAAACTTTCATACACTATCTATAATAACATTAAACAAATTAAGGAACTCAATTTATATTGTATTTTAAATTATATAATATATATTAAATTTGACATATTTAATAAATTAAAGACCTATGCTTATAAGGACCTTAATTATAATAAAAAACTTTTAACCATAATGAAGGAGTAATGAGAAAAATCATATTCATGTTTACTTTGATCATGTTATAATTTATTCAACAGTTTCATTTTTTATTTTTTCTTTATTTTGCTTTTCAACATTTTTCTATTCATATATATAGATATTTCTTAACATAAAATAAAGGTGCTTAATTAGCGATAATATTTGTTTAGTCCTATAATTAAATTTACATAACAAGTAGATGTCCTAGGATATATATTTAAACTGATGCATTATTATATTAATGAAAAACAAAAAGGTGATATACATGGAAGCATGCGAAGCTGGGAGCATGTTTGATGGGATTCTTCCGAATAACTTGAACATATTTGTGACCACAGCTTCCAACCCGAAAGAAAGTAGTTTTGCATTTTACTGTCCTGATTCGTATCCTCCTGCACCCCCTCACTACACTACTTGTTTAGGAGATGCATACAGCATTGCATGGTTAGAAGACAGGTATGTCCTCTGATGAATCCATGTTATCTTACAACTTCCCTTGATCGTTTGGATTTTGTTTATGGAACAGTGAAAAAAATGACTTGACGAAGGAAACTTTGCAACAACAATATGGAACCGTAAGATATCAACTCAACCTTTAATATTGTCCTGTATCTGACGTTGATCTGATGCAGAATATTTTTGTGAGCTTTGTTCAGGTTCGACGAAGAACTTTGTTTAGTGATATTAACAACAGTTCTCATGTGATGCAATATGGAGATATGAAGTTCAACAACGATTTTCTTGCTACCTACATTGGTGCACCTCCCTATACCAGTCATAATGAAAATGCATATTCCTTTGAACCATCTACTCAAACTAGACGTATAAGCCAACGAGATGCTCATTTACTCCATCTTAAGCTTGAGGTAATTCTTGGTTGGATACCAAAATATAGGTTCAAGTTACAGAGAAACTTGGGAAAATTATCTTCTTTTGCTGTTTCAGTTGCAAGAGGCCCCGGATGGTTCTGATGAGAAGATGAAAGCTCAGAAAAAGTTAGATGGTGAAATTTCTCACAGGGAGAGTGTAGATAAAGGGTTCCATCTCATAGGTGATCTCTTGTTTGGAGAAGAGAATAGCTCAACCATGATGCTCCATGTTCGTCCACCAGGGCAACCTCTTGTTGATGACTGGGATTGTTTTAAGACCCTTGTAAGTAGAACGATAGTATGTAGTATATATTTTTGGACACCAATTTTGACCATAAAATGAATTTCTTAGGCACTTATGTACACTCTTTGTATAATAGATGATAAACATTTTGCGATAAATTTCATGCAGATAAATACTTATGAGAGCGTTTGCGGTACTTTATCAAGCTATGGAAGGAAATACACAAGAGCCTTTGCTAATATGTGCAATGCTGGCATCTCGGTGGAGCAATTGAAAGCAGCGTCATTGCAAGTTTGTCCCGAGGAAAACATTGCATTCTAAATTAATTTTTTATGTTGATAATGTAATAACCAATATCTTAGAAAATAAATTGCTCTTTCATTCTACAAATTGAATTGTACTCCTTTGTATTGCTTTATCAATTACCATCTTTGATTGTTAGTAATACTTTCATTTAACAGAGACAAAAAAAAATTATAAAAGTTTTAGGGGACCTTCTTCTTTTTCATTCCCATCCAAAAAAAAAGACTTATACAGATCTTTTATTCCTGATTCTCTCCCATGTATAACTCTTATTTATAACAGAAAAAAAATCATAATTTAATTTATATAAAATTTCTTGGTGATCTTTCTATTGGGCCTTGAGTGTGTGACTTGAGTTGTGGCCTTACTATTAATTGCTCCATATGTGAAATGGAGCTTGTCTTCAAGGTTTAATATTTGGGCCGCGGGCACTAAGTGGGCTGGAGTTGCCATTTGGGTAATGAATGTTGATGTTGGGTTAGGAGTTAATGAGATTGTGGGGTTAGGAGTAGAGATATTAGATGGAATTGGGTCATGGGCCCTGGTAGGTGGATTGCATAGTGTGTTGTTGGTAATTGTGGCGAGTTGGATGGATGATTGGTCGGGTGGGACGGTGTAGTCAAAGGAGTTTAAGGAGGTCGCGTGTGGGTGGGACTGCATGCATGCATATGCGGACGCCGTATCATCCTGAATTGCTGAGGGTGCTTTCTTGGCATTTCCAATTTAAGTACTTAGGTGAGTTGTTTTTCTCGAAAAAATATGAAATAAAGTCTCAAAATATCACATCATTATTAAATAATTTTTATTTTAAAAAATTCAACCATTCTAAACAGTTTATTATTTTATATATTTTTTATTTAGATTTTTATATTATAATATTTATTAATTAAAATTCTATTAATTAATATTTTGTATAAAAATTAAGTTAATATATTTATTAAATAATTAATTAATTTTTACAAATAAATAATTAAATTTTTTTATTTAAAATTAATTACTTTGATTAATAACATACTATCATATTTTAATTCAAAAATAATATCAAATACATAATATTTAAATAAATATAACGAAAATCAAATAACATTAGAAAATATATAATATAAGATTAATTTTTATTATTCTCTCATTCTTTTTTTTAATATATTTCATTAAATTTGCTTGAAGTTGGTGGTGAGTGTTTTAATCTTTAACTAGTATTCTCTTTTAAAAATATGTAGATCTAAAATAAAGATGAAGACTTAAAAATATATCAATAATTGATATGTTATTATTTTTTTAATATCATAATCAACATGATTTTGATAGGTGTATCGTTTGTCTTCAATAATCATATTATATAATATGATACATGTATAAATTATATTCTTCGAGTGTATGAGCATCCCAAAAATGTGTTGGATCACATATAATTGCACATCAAGATTGGAAGATTCCAAATGCACGTTTAACATCATTTCTAATTGATTATTATCGTTAAGAAAATAATTTTATCTTTTCTCCTTTTGGCACCGAAATAGTTTTCACAAATATGATAAAATTTGGATAAATACCACCTGTTAAGTAATATGATATATCATATTGTGTTTCATTCACAGGCATAACCTTACATATCTTCATTAAACACATTAGATGTATTTAACATAGTAATATCATTATTTGATCCTACAAAAAAAGTGCACAAGTTTTGTGATGCCACAACTTTGAGAACGATTGTTAAGTTAACATGATTACCTCAACAAAATTAACCTTTCCATGCAATTGGACATTTTTTCCATTCCTATTATGTACAATCAATTAATCTAACACACCTGACAAGCCACATGTCACTCCCATTTGTAATAGTTTATCAATGTCTTGGTTGTTAAGCCTCCTCAAATATTCATTTCCAAATATTGCACAAATGCCTAATACAAATCGTTGTAAGCATTCTATTGAAATGTTTTCACAAATTCAAATATTTTTATCTACACTATCAGTAGGTGAGTCATAGGTCAATATGCAAATAGCAACAATGCATTTTTGCAAATGTGATAAATCTCTTATTCGTGTTTCGTTTAACCTCATTGTAAGGTAATCATTTTGATTGTCAAGGACTTTCACAATTCTTACAAAAGCATCAATTTGCATACAAAACCTTCCTTGATTTTAATATTTTGACAATATTTTCAGCAGAATAGTCATTGAACAATTGATGGTGACCTTCTTCACGATTTTGAAGGACTATCTTTTTTCTTTGTCTGTCATCACCATTGTTGTCAACTTGTATGTACTTATGTACTAACTTCATGATTTATTCATCATTGTTGTCTTCAAGTTCTCCATGTATAACTTGATCCAACAATGTGTCTAAATAAGTATTTTCAAAATCTCTTGTATGGATAATTAAAGTATTTGAAGATAGAGAATAATATTGTAATACTAGAAGAAGATGTGCAACATTGCATAACATTCCATAATTATATATAGATTTACAACGATTAATTTTACAACAACTACTTTTCACAATGACTACTTTTCATTTCATAACAGTTAATACACTTCTTAGCGAGTTACAATTAATTATTATAATGACTAATATATTTAAAATACTCATTTTTATTCAATATAGTACAATATTTTTCGTGATCTTCATGTTATTTCTCAGACATGTTAGACGTGTCTTTCATGAGAATTTCATACTCCAAATGCATTTCTTGTGACTTTGTTAACTCAAAAATTCATTAATCTTAGTGTTTTTTCCTTTATTGAACTTTCTATGTCGGATAAATCAATATGAAAGTAGTGTTTGCACTAGATTTTCCTTTGATCTTTTTCTTTGTTGTCTTTTGTCCTATAGGGCAAGATGTTAATGATGATGTATCACATTGTTCAACTTCAATGGGTATCTCTAAGTTAGAAGTTGATGAGTATCTTCTTCTAGGCCACCCAGCTACCACGCATCTATCGAGCCTTGGTCATGCTTCTCTAAGCTGCCTTAGCCATCCACCACTGCGCCACCGTGACTTAGTCCATGGGTTAGTGGTTTGATGCACGGGAACTGACCTACTTGAGGTTTCTCCCCTTTTCTTTTGATTTTGGACTTATCCTGCGTTTTGAGTTTGGATTGTTTGGTTGGAGTAATTTGGTTTTAATCTGACAGTTTTGGTTTGGTTTAGGTGTGTTTGATTTGAATTGAGTAGAGTTTGGCTTTGTGTTGATATTGATAGGGTTTGGATTGAGTTTCATTGGTGTTGATTTTGTTTGATTCCTGAGTAATTCAGCAATTAGTGTATTATTGTGGATTGATTTCATTATGTTTTTTTCATTTGGTTATGATATTTTTGTTTGGATCTGAGGGATCTGTTTATTGGTGCCTAATGGTTCTTCATAGTTTTGATGAGGTTATTTTGCTTTGTTAGGATTGTTCAATTTAGATGGGTTGTTGGGACTAATTCTGAGGGATTCAGTTCAATTTGAGCTATTCGGTTGGGTCAGGATATAGTTTTTGTTGTGTATCTTAATTGTGTTGAGGGTATTCTTTTGGGACTTGACTTATTAGACTGGATTGTGCTAATTGTATTATTTAAATTGAATTGGATGGTGCTAATTATATTATTTAAATTGGATTGTACTGTTATACTGGACTGTGTTATCACTGTGTTGTTTGGATTATGTGAGTGCTTAATCGGATTGTGTTGTGATGTGTATTAGAGTATTATCATGTGTGTGGTATGCATTTGAATGCTGGTAATAACGACTGTTGGTCATTCTTTTTCGATTTAATGGTTGTCGACCCTTCATTTTTGATTTAGTGGTTGTCAGCTCATGCATTTTGATTTAGCGGTTATCGGCCCTCGTTTTATTTATCAGTTGTCAGTCCTGTGTTATTTGTTCTAGTAGGTCGTCGACACTGCGATATCCAATTTAATGAATTTCGACCTTATGTGACTTAGGTTAATTGGATGTCCGATTTTTTACGAGAACATTTGTGGTTATGATCGTCTGTATACGCTAAACCTTAGTACCCATTTTTCGCCCTTTCTCTGTAATATAATTGTAGAGTTTTAAAAAAAATAAAAAAAAATACAAATCTCTTTAAAAATTAAAAAAAAAAACATTTTTAAAAATTACTCAAACATACAAAATTTTTTACAATGAATTACATAACTCTTATTTTTCATTCCCAATGGAAATACATAAGAGCAAGGTTAATCCTTGTTGGGCCTAAATAAAAAAATTTCAAAAATGTTTTCCTTTTCTCTTTTCTTTTTTCCTCTTTGATCTGATATTTTAGGTAAAAATAAATAGTTTTAAAATAACATTTAGTTTTTATATTTGACTAAGGGTAACCGTCTTAGGACGAATGTTGTAGGGTACTAAAACCTTCCTTACACGCAATCAACTCCCAAACCCAAATATGGTTTTGAAGGCCATATTTTAAGATTTTTTTTGTACGTGACTTGGTTGTGACAACTATTGTAGTGTCCAAATAAATTATTTCACCTTGTGATTGACCCAAAAGGTTCAGTCATAACACGGTCTTCTCTCTTAAGGTGCAAGTCCACAAATTTTTGCCAAAATTATGATCTATTACCATAAATCCTGTATAATGAGAATCAAGCTATTTAATTGACATAATAATAGAATCTCGGGCATGGGTCAAATATTTTAAATCCAAAGTAAAACAACTCATTAAAAAGGAATTTAGGGTTAAGTTACAACCAAGTTCGCTAAATAAGAAATAACACTAATCAAAATCTAAGGACTTTGGGCAACAACCTAATAGAATATATTAATTTGTGTTGAAAAAGATAAGAAACCTTCATATTTCCTCCTTAAAGTGTGACAACTTATGTACATCGTAATAAAATTTTCATTGAGAGAGATAAAGAGGTGACCACCATGTAGTGGCAATCTTTTTGTAAGATAAGGAGGTCATGACCCCCCCCCCTCTCACCCAAAGTTTTGTAACTTAGATTAATATTTATTATTTTGGTCTCATTTAAAAATTTGATTTCTCAATCTTTCTTATTCTTTTATCTTTTTACATTCATTTATTATTTATTGATAATATATTATTTAGTCTCTTCAAGATCAACGATGAAAATTCACTACTATAGTCATGATTAATATTGGACATGTGTACGTTTTACACGAAAGTCAAAACTTTCAAAGACAAATACTCATAGATTGCTTAAATTTAACTACATGGACACAAGATTAATAAAAAAAATTATGCGATGAGATCAATCATTCGATTCATAATAAGATTAAACAAATTATAATGTGATTGTGATAATATTATGATTTATTTATTTTCAACCATGTCAATTCTTTGTACAAAGTCTAAGATGAATTGTGTAGAGAGTTAAACATATAAATGGTTGATCAATTCACACAAAATTAATTTATATCAAAATCCAAAAATAAAAAGAAATTTAAAAAGTCAATCAAAATTAAATTATATATAAACATTAAAAAACATCTAAGTCATGCAACTTTTTTCCTTTTCACGGTATAAAAATCAAATCGTTATGTTTTTTTAAGAAATTTATATTTTAATAAATATAATTTCAGATTATTATTTATTTATCTTTTATTATTATTATTTATAACTTCATATTTATACGAATCAAATTAATAAAAATATATTAATATTAATTTTAATAATAATATTAAAAATTTCAAAATAATTTAAAATAATACTTA